CTCCATCTCAGTCGAGGCACATGTGCTTAATTACGGTTCACGAATTTTGGCAAACATTTAGGGGCCATAAAGCGAAATCGTAAACGAATCTGTTTTTTCTTCGCTGCCTTTGGCATTGGATATGGATATGGATATGGCCGAGCGAGTTATTAATAAAATGTTGTTTGTTTCGGCATTCTGAGTGATTTATTCGCCGAATTAATGCCGCGGTGTCGTAACGGAATTTTATGTTATTCTCCGCCGCTCCGACGTGCAGCAGTCTTGACCCAGTTAACAGCCCGGTTCGTTCAGCTTTTTGACCTAGGTCAGGTCGGCGAGTTAGTCACTTCGGCGAGTCAACGAACTGCACGCAGCAGGCCAACCCGCTTTTGGGGGCTCTCAAAGCCAGCGCATTTACGATCGAACCAGTTGAAGTCTGCCTGCCTGGCCAACTTCCAGACGGACAGACACTCCTCTCCCCGGAGGCCTTGCTACTTGCCACTACGATTAGTTCGATAAGCGGCGCAGCCTGCTAATTATTATAATAGATCCAATAAGAGGCCGAAACGTGCGACCTACGTGCTGCAATATTTTGTCAAAGGCCGAAAGACCAGGCGAAAACAGACGATAGACTAACGAAGCGATAATCACAATAATCTCGGCTACCAAGTTCATCATGATGACGGCGACGGCGGTGATAATGATAATGATAATGATAGGAGACTAGCCCCTCCGAAAAGAGGCGGAGTCGCTCGCTGTGCGACGGCATTTCTTACATTTCAAGGTGAACATTTCGAAACAATTCAACTTGAACTGCTGGAATTAACATTGACATCGCCGCCGACATGCCACGATCATCAAAATTATTTGCCCAGTTACATTTATAGACATGTTGTGCTGGCGACAGTTTTCGTGCTGATTTGGCACAAAGTTTTTTCCCCCCTTTATAAAACCGAGTTTTTCTTTACTTGTTTGTCATGGTTGGCTTCTTGACCTCTGCGAGCCGTAAAAACGCTGAATAGATGCTAAAGTATTCTCACTCGCAATGGTTTTTTTTGTTGCTTTCAGTTTTTAATATAAATGTTAATTTTGTTGTGCTCCCCAGTTATGGACTGCTGGGCGCCTCCGGCTGTGGCAAGACCACCCTGCTGTCCTGCATCGTGGGTCGCCGCTACATGGACGCCGGCGAGATCTTCGTTTTGGGCGGCAAGCCCGGCACCCGGGGATCCGGAGTTCCGGGAAAGCGCGTCGGCTACATGCCCCAGGAGATCGCCCTCTACGGCGAGTTCTCCATCCAGGAGACCATGATGTACTTCGGCTGGATCTTCGGCATGGAGACCAAGGAGATCCTGGAGCGCCTGCAGTTCCTGCTCAACTTCCTCGACCTGCCGTCGGAGAAGCGTCTGGTCAAGAACCTCAGTGGAGGCCAGCAGCGCCGCGTGAGCTTCGCCGTCGCCCTGATGCACGATCCAGAGCTGCTCATCCTGGACGAGCCCACCGTGGGAGTGGACCCCCTGCTGCGCCAGAGCATCTGGAACCACCTGGTGCACATCACGAAGGCGGGCCAAAAGACGGTCATCATCACCACACATTACATTGAGGAGGCTCGCCAGGCGCATACGGTAAGCAATCTAATTATTTGATTATTTAAAATATATTATAAACCATTTTTTTTTTTTTTAGATTGGTCTCATGCGATCGGGCCATTTGCTGGCCGAGGAGTCGCCCAGCGTCCTGCTCTCCATCTACAAGTGCATCAGTCTGGAGGAGGTCTTCCTCAAGTTGTCCCGCATCCAGAGCCAGAAGGGCGATGTGACCCACGTGAACTTCAGGTAAGCATCCCGCATGCACACGTGGCTAACCCGACAGCACTCTAATCACACTTAAAACTCTTAATCTCCACTTTGAACTCTGACCTCTGAACTATGAACTCTGCTCCATCCGACACTCGCATGCTCGCAATCTGTGTTCCACCCTCCATCTGTTTGTGGTTGTTTTTCGGGAGTAGTAACAACATCTCGTTGCACGCCATGGCCTTTGGCAGCAAGATGGACAAGCCCAGTTCCAGTCAGGAGGGCGGCGTGGTGGGCCTCAACTTCCACCAGAGCAAGGAGGTGCTCATCAACGACAGCAATGGCTCCATTTACACGGTCTGTTCTCCTATTTATTAAGGGGTTTCCTGACTTAATTCCTGACTTATTTGTGTGATAGCTGAACCAGGAACCCTACAGTCCGCCGCCGTCGAGGCGCAACAACAATCCCAATGACGAGGAGAGCTGCCAGGACTGCTACTCCAACCTGTGCAAGATCACCTCGAAGGGCAAGATCCGCGCCCTGCTCACCAAGAACATGCTGCGCATGTGGCGGAACGTGGGAGTGATGCTCTTCATCTTCGCCCTGCCCGTCATGCAGGTGATCCTCTTTTGCCTGGCCATCGGACGCGATCCCCAGGGCCTCAACCTGGCTATAGTCAACGGGGAGATGAACGACACGGTAAGGGTAAGACACACATTCATACACTCAATCCGGCACAACTTTGTAAACTATGAAATATCTTCCATAAAGAGATATAAAAGAAGTCCCAAGATACAACAAAGCACATTAATATCTTATTATAAACCCGATATCTCTTTAATCAAATTTATTACTTGTTTCTGTAGGAAAACTGCTATTGGGAAGACGGCTGCCACTTCAAGAACCTGGGATGTCGCTACTTGAGTCACCTGAACACGAGTGTGGTCAAAACGTACTACGAGGACCTGGACGATGCCAAGGAAGCCGTGAGAAAGGGAACAGCCTGGGGAGCGGTGTACATAAGCGAGAACTTCACGGACGCCTTCATTGCCCGCGCGAATCTGGGACGCGATTCGGATGATGAGACAATCGACTCCTCCGAGGTGAAGGTCTGGCTGGACATGTCCAACCAGCAGATCGGTGTCATGCTCAACAGGGACATCCAGCTGGCCTTCAGGGACTTCGCCATGGGACTCTTGGGACAGTGCGGCAGCAATCCGAAGCTGGGCGACGTGCCCATTCAGTTCAGAGATCCCATCTACGGCACCATGAATCCCTCGTTCACCGATTTCGTGGCACCTGGCGTGATCTTGACGTAGGTTTCATTGCTATCTCTTTTTATGGGTGTGTCGTTAAAGTGTTTTTTGTTATATTTAACAGCATTGTTTTCTTCTTGGCTGTCGCTTTGACGTCATCGGCCCTGATCATCGAGCGCACTGAGGTAAGTCGAACAAACAATTAAATTGAAATTCAGAAAAAAAATATAATAAAATCTTTGCTTTATTCTAGGGTCTTCTGGATCGTTCCTGGGTGGCTGGCGTCTCGCCCTTCGAGATCCTCTTCTCCCACGTGATCACACAGTTCGTGGTGATGTGCGGACAGACCACTCTGGTGCTGATCTTCATGCTGGTGGTGTTCGGGGTGACCAACAACGGCGACCTCTTCTGGGTGATCGTGCTGACCCTGCTGCAGGGCATGTGCGGCATGTGCTTCGGCTTCCTCATCTCCTCGGTCTGCGAGCTGGAGAGGAATGCCATCCAGCTGGCCCTGGGCTCCTTCTATCCCACGCTGCTGCTGTCCGGAGTGATCTGGCCCATTGAGGGCATGCCAGTGGTGCTGAGGTGAGTTGTAGATAGGGATTCCTCTTAAAGATTGTATTTTATAAATACCTATTTACCCCACAGATACATCTCGTTGTGCCTGCCGCTGACGCTGGCCACTTCCTCGCTGAGATCCATCCTCACCCGCGGCTGGGCGATACTGGAGTCCGATGTGTACATCGGCTACGTGAGCACGCTGTCCTGGATCGTGGGCTTCCTGGTGCTGACGCTCCTCGTGCTGCGGTCCAAGCGCGGCTAGGAGCTCCTGATATCAACCTACTTTTAGATGCGTACTTTAGCTCGCGATTAGTCGTCCTCGTCGTCCTAGTTAGTTTACCCCCTACTTCGGCTCCACTTCTTATCCGCCTCCGATTCTTCACTTCCCCGTATCTGCCCAAATGTCATAAATTATTTAAGCACATTCGCAGCTTTCCTTAGCTTTCTACTCGGCACCCGTTTCCCTAGACTAAGTTCTGCACATTCGTAGGTTAAAGCGTAAGGTTTAGGTACCTAAATGAATTGTTGTAAATATTTTGTGTCACGAATTCAGTAATCCGTTGCTAGATGTCCATTATTTGCAACCCTCTGTACTAGACCTTTTCACGATTCCGAAACGGGCAATTTATTTCACACACAACTAATTTTATATATTCTTCAATGGACTGTGATTGTTTTTTCTACATAATTCACGCGAATACACGTAGGGCAAGCCTAAACAAAAACAAAACACAATGAAAAGCGAACAAAAACAATGGTGGGTTTGTTAATAACATTAAGTAGCTTAAAGCATTTTTTGTATGGGTTTAAGTTTTTAAGGTAAAACATAATTAAATACAATAATGTACACTACACTAAAGAGTATGTAAAAATCTATTTCAGGAAATATTATGCACTAAGCATAAGTATTTCACATCGAACAAAACAAAAAATAAATAAGACAATAAACAACGAACAAGTGAAAAACGTTCTAAGCTAAGAAAATTAATTACTATGTGAACGCAGTTATGTATAAATAATAATAAAACGTAAATAAAACTTTTATTTCTTTTAATGAACGGAATAGTAAAAACAGTTACCAGAAATAATTTAAATAAATATTTAAAAAAAGAGCTATCGATAACATTGGCGGTTGGCAGCACCGTTATCGTTACTCAACACGACCTCAATGCAGCTATAAAAGCTGGGACTCATTTTAAAAGAGGTTCACTATCTGTCGACTATATTGCTTATTATATGTTCAGATGTAGATATGATTTGAAACATTATATTCATTTAATAAAAATAATTATAATAATTTATTTATGCATATGAATCACACGTACCGATAGTTAAGAACATTTTTTCACGAACTCGACTACTCTTTTTTGCTCGGAATTTTGCAACACTAGTGAAAAAATACTGCTTTCATTTTCAGATCAAAACAAAACAAAAGAGCAATGTTTTTCTGTGTTTTTATTTTAAAATAACGTTTAAAAACGTTCGTTTAGCGACGAAATGGACAAATCTAGGTCCAGTGTTTACGACAAGTTCGTTGGCTTTGTGGAGCAGTTGCGCAATACAGAATGCAGGTGTGTTTTGATCCTGTTTGTTTTTTTTCGGTTGCAATGGAATGTTTTGGGGAGGAGACCGGCAACAGTTTGTTTTGATTACGGAATAACATTAATAAATCTATGTGTCGAGGTTATTTCCCTGGGGCTTTATGCCTCTTACGTGGCTCAGCCGACTGATTTAGCCCGAAAACATTCCTGCTGCCGTTGACAACAAGCACATCCGTTATGACGTCATGCCACATACCTGCACTAATTGCATACTATCTCAAATTCCCACAGTCAAAAGCAGAAGATCGCCTGCTTTCAGCAGATAGCCGAGTGCATCATGTCGCCCTCGCTGGCCGGGCACATCAACTATGCGGCCCACTGCGGCACGGCCACAAATGTCCTGCTGCTCTTCTGCGAGGATGTGGACTCCGTAGTGCGGATGAGTGCGGAGGAGAACCTCAACAAGATCCTGCGGGCACTGGAGAAGACCCGAGTCAGTCGCATCCTCATGGATCTGTACGGAGAGATTAAAAGGAATGGCAACCAGAGGTAGGCAGCCCAAACTCGTACTACCACATTTTCTAAAAGCGTACTCATTTTAGATCCCTGAGGATTTGCCTGAACCTGTTCTCCTACTATGCCCCACAAATAAAAGAGAAGCACATCAAGTGGTATGCTGTCAGGTTACTCCAATGCATGACCACAATTTCTCAGCGCAAGGAGACGCTGCTCCAGGAAACCCTATCCGAATTCGTCAAGCACTTTGGCCGTTATCTACAGCAGGGACTCAGCGATAGCGAGTCCTGCAAGCTATTCGAGGTGCTTATGATCATCTACCAGTTAATTTATTTAGTTACTCAATTCCATGTTGATTTTTTGCAGACTTTTCTAGACAATATTGGCTCCGATTGTGCCGTCAAGCGTCGCTGCTCGGCGCAAAATTGCATCAGTCTGATTGAGCATGCACGCAATAAAAGTCTAATGGCCAGACATGGAGTCAACAAAGTGATGGGTAAGCGGCAGAGGAAAACGGAAATGAAGCGTCAGATAGGAATAAAAAATTCGCTTTTCGAGAGATGTTCAAGACCTTATAAGAAGCAATTTTAATAAGTCTTGTAAAAAATATAGAGTTATAGACTGAATAGTAGTACGCAATTCCAGGAAAAAGTTAATAGAAAAATCTGTTTATACAGGTGTTAAATTCTTGTTTAGTAAGTGATTAAAGATGACAAAAAATATAGGTTCGACGTTGCATAAAATCTGCCTGCCCCAAAAAATCCATTTAATTGAACAGTTTTTGTTTCCCAGCCATGTCAAGGCCTTTTAATTTGAAAACACGCCGGCTCCCATAAAAGCCCGTTATTGTTCGTCCAGATTTGGATGAACTAATCCACAATTCGGTGTTATCGCTGTTAGTTATTTAACGCATTTTCGCTTCGAACACGTCCAGCAGAACGCTCTTTATATTCGCATCAATAATGAAAGTGGTGTTTAAAAAGCGTGTAACGGCCAAACGCTAAGCCCCGCATAGATCTGCATATATATTGTTGGGCATGTGAGCGCTGTTGCTAAAAAATATTTTTAATATTCTAAAAAGCCGCAAATCCATGAAAAATACCTTACCAAAGAGTAGAGCCATCGAACTGCGAACTACGTGAGCGGGAAGAAGGCTGGCTTTCGGGTTTTATTCAAACTCGCATTGGGGATGCAATCACAACCGTGGGTTTGTTTGTCTGTGGTTTGTGGGCGCTGATGGGCGGGCCACAATAAGAGTAACTAGACGGTCGAAATAAATTATATTTCTACATTGCTGTTGGTTACCTTTCCCAATCAATGGGCGAGCCATCGAACGTATATATTTTTTTGAGATTTGTTTTGATTTTAGACAGCGATAGCGGCAGTTTTTATTTTAGCATTTGCTGACTGGCGGACTGCAGCAATAACTGCAGCGGCAAAAACAAAAGTCATGGCAACGCGAGCCATGCGAAAATGCTTAAAAATTGCAAACACAAATCACTTTTTATTGAATTTTCATGAAAATATTGTTGGCACACGTCGGCGGAAAGGTAAATGCACCTAGTTAAAGTTTCCATTGCTTTTTATGAGTTACGAATAAACTTTGGCAGAGATCTGTGTATGGCATTGGCAAACAATTAAAGTGAGAAGTTAGGGAAAAACTAATTCATTTACTGGGATTACTTTTGCGACTCATGCACGGAAGTCAAAGCTCTGACCTCACCTCAGTTCATATAAATTAAGCTTCGACTTGACTTTACCTTTGCTCTTTTCTTGTCCAAATGTTTACCTTCAAATCAACTCCTTCAGCTGCCGCCCCTGCCCCTACCCGAATGCTCCTTCCCCTGCCGGCTAGTCTTCTAGTCCTGTGTCAACTTTATGCCACTTCTCGGCAAAGGCACAATGCCAGGCAGCTCTTCAGCGCATCCTTATACAGTCTGGCGCCTCTTTTTATGGGCATCCATCTCGGCGGCCCTACTTGGGCTGCCTGGCATCCTTGCATCCTCGCATCCTGGCATCCTGGCATCCCGGCATCCTGGCTGCCTGGCTGCTGGCTGCCTGGCATGCCCCAACAAGCAGACACAAAGTGCGGCCCTGGTCCTCAGGACTACTCGGGTCCTAGACCTCGGAGCCGCCCCCGCCAGCTCCGTTTGTTTGTCTCCGCCCGTAGACGAAATGAAATTTATGCACTCGGACACTTCCATGCAATAATTCATGCGAAATTGAATCAGATATTCATTCCTGTGCAGCTTTAAAGCGGATAATCAACGTTGTAAACAAATGCCAGCCGAACGAGGGCAGCAAAGCCAACAGCTGCGAAGGGAGCATGCAAAATTTATGTTGCCCACTGACTGACGCCGAGCTAAACAAAAAGTGCAAATTATTTTCATGTCAGCTGTGGCAGCATAAATAGCCGAATGTCCAGTTCATTCTCTGAAATCGCTGAAGCTCCCATCTAAAATTGTGCTTTATGGCTCCTGATTGTTAAACTGACTGAACATGCCAAAGTAATCAGAGATGCATAGTTTTTGACTTAATTTTGGGTTTGTGCAAAGCTCGATAATTAATGATAAATGTGTTGGGTAATACTATTAAATGCTTAAACATTTAAAGAACTTGTTTCATTATTCTCTTTATTATTAAACGAATGATGGTTAAGGGTTTTAAACACAAACTTAAAGCCTGTCAAAAGTTTGATTTCTGGTCCAAGATTACTTTGGTATCGATTCCGATAAGTAGTTCCCACAGTATATAGTACACCTTTCGGGCGGCTATTAATTGCAGTCTTTAAACGTGCCCAGCATGATGCCACCCCCCGCCCATTTCGGGCTCGCCAATTTTGCAGAAAGTTCTTGCGGCTTCTGCCGCAATTAATTGATACACATGGAAACAGGCCGCAAGTTGTGCTCGGCAAAGTCACTTGCCTGCCATGAGGGCCATGTAAAAAGTTTCTCCGGCGAGAAGTGTTTTCAATTTTGCGCCCCAAAGGAAGAAAATGAAAACTAATTGAGTAACAAACTTCCAACATGGCGTTTTGTGATTGGTGGCGTATACGTAATGAAACGACAAATAAGCGGAGACAACAAGAGCAAGAACTGCTGGGAACTGCTCACAGTGGGTGGCTAGTGGGTGAGTGGGCGAGTGGGAGAGTGGGTGGCATGTGTGCGGAGTCTATAAATATCAGATGGAAAGTTTTCAACGAGATAAATTTAATTGGAGGCAATTTGTTGCAAAACATATGAGGGAAAAGTTGCCAAGAACACGAAAGAAGTATGAACTGCAATTGGCCGGCCAAAAGCAGCGCGAAGTGGGTAAAGGTAGTCCATTGCCATTGGTATCTCCTGCTGGTATCGGTAATGGTATTGCTATTGGTATTGGTATCGGTATCTGGGGCTTGCTTATTGAGCAAATTGGCATTGCCGGCGCACGCTGCGCAAAAAGTTTGAGGAGCGTTTTTAATTTGTATCAACAGCTGCCATAAGTTTCCCGCCATTAACCAACTTATCCCCTTATCCTTTGTTTCGCAGAGCTCCTGCTGACGGACCAGCAGACGAGCAGCGTGCTGGGAGCTCTGGGGCTGTTGCGCCTCCTGCTGCCGCAACTCATACGCGGCTACTCGGCCGACAGCCTCGAGGACTCCGAGTCCTTGGCCGGCCAGCAGCAGCAGCAGAATCTGCAGAAGAGGCAGCAGCAGCAGCAGACGACGACGACCTCCGACTGCCGGCAAATTATTGAAATTTATGATTATTGTTTGCACCTGCTGAGCACGCAGCCCACCACGAATCACGCCATCATAAATGCCACACTGGAGGTCATCAACGGCATTCTCCAGGCGCTGGACGCCCCGACCGATGGCCAATGTAGCCAGGGTCTGGGCCAAAGTTTGCGCCAACTGTTGTGCAATCAACAACTGCAGCACAATGAGTATTTGCGGCGAAGGAAATCATTAAAGAATCAAATATTCCAATTGAAAAATTACGAAGTGGCGACAAGTCAACAGCAGCTCGACAACGAGGACGAGGATGCAGATGCGGATGCGGATGAGCTGGCGGATGGGGCCAGTGCAATGCAAATGAAAAAGAATTCAAATGCAAAACTGCAGCAGGCGAAGTGTCAACAGCAGCAGCAACAACAACAGGAGAAGCTCGGGGTTGAGAGGAGCTCGCTGGGAATTAATGCCGGGGAAGATGCCACGACCGAGGCTGCAAGTTCCGTCGCTGATGAAGGTATGGCAAATAAGGCAGAATGCAAGTCGAGATGGCTTGTGGGTTTTTGGTGGTATGAGTGTGTGTGTGCGGGAAGTCATGTGGAAATGTGACATGCTGACAGAGGATCAGAGGAACTGGGTACCAGAGAACCAGAGAACCGGGGAACTAAGGAACGAGACCGACAGACAGACAGACAGACCATGCCGAAATCAAGAAAATTGAGCAATTGCACAGGCAGATGGAGACACCCACACACAACACACACACAATGCACATATGAAAATTATTAGTGCATGCTCTTAGGCGGCACATGCAGGAACGAGGTCAGGCCGAATTTGCATTTGCATTTGCCGCCAGCGGAATCCTGCACAAATATTTACACAAATTGTAAGGCTAACCCACAGTCACGCCCACACCCGTTTGCCTTTTCCAGGGGGAGACAGAAAGGCAGCCAAGCAGCGCAGCCACATTAGGAATGCCGCACGCAGCATCAGCGAATGCGTTGCCCCGGACGAGGACGCCAGGGGGCAAGGACACCAGCAGCGGCAGGACGAGGATGATGACATGGAGGACGACGACGACGATGACGACGACATGGAGCTGCTGAGTGCCGAGTGTGATGACTTCACAACCCTGTCGCAACTAAATGAACAACAACAGCCGCTGTCAGCGGCATTGCGATTGCCCGCAACAACAGCAACAACCATAACTGCAGCAGCAACAACAACGACAGCGGGAGCAGCAGGAGCATCGCAGGACGATAAACTGATTGATGTTGATGCCGATGTCGGGGGGCTGCCTAAACCGCAGCATCAGTCATCTCTGCAGAACCTGCTCGCCGGCAGCGACGACAAATCCCAGCATTTGAGTGACATCGACAATGAATCTTTCAACAGCATCGATTTCGAAGCCGAAATCACAATTGCTGGCAGCAAAGAGCAGCAGCGGGAACAGCAACAGCAACAGAAACAACAACATCCTGCGGCGGATGATTCGTTGGAATCCGGCGATGCAACGGCAATTGGCACATTCTTCAACAATCTGCTGTCGCATTCCAACGCAGGTGAGTCCGCCATAACTATGACTATATCCCGCGCAAATATTTCATTAGCAAAGTTCAAAGTCAGCGAAGCAAGTTCAAAACTATTTCCATTTGATGTTATTGCATTTCACGGTCTACCGCAGTCGCCACCAAATTCTATTATTCCCCCGCCTTTTGATTTCTGATTTCTTTTTTTTTTTTTTGCGCCAAACAATTCCCCATTTATGTGCAATATTCGGGCGGTATTCGGCGGTATTATTTGCATAATTACGGCAGAGCTGCAGACGTGACTTGCCGGCGAGCAGTTCTCGATTGCCAATTGCACTTGCGATTTAATGAAGCGTAATTGTTGCCGCTGCAACTCCCTAAAGTTGTCAAGTAAAAATAGGCAATTCGTGCAGAAGTTTCGTCCTTTGAGGAGGAGGGAAACTATTTTGGGGAATAATGGTAAACAATCATCGAACTATACTTAATTGTTTGGAAATCTTTAAGTTTTCTATGAAAAATATGGAGATATCATAAGGTTTATTGGCGTTTATTTGATTGGAAATAGTAATGATAATTTTTTGGTAATCACACTAAATTTAATTCTGATTTTGTTTCCTGTTTTGCTAAGTGTGTGCATCTCGTCGTTAGCTTTTTCTAGTCGGTTAACATCATTGCGAAAATAGGGTAAACAAATCCCGCTCTTTGATTTCGATGCTGTTTGCTGACATTTCGATGCCTTCTGATTGCATTGTCCTTGAGATAATTTATTTTAATATTTAAATCGCTGGCTGATTGACTTGCTGGAGCGAAAGGATCGCAGCGCCGAGTGCACGCGTGTGTGCCCCACTTTCCCCTGACCCACAAAGGAAGGAGCCCGGGAAGAGTGGCAGACACGATGCCAGACCCATGTCCTGTCGTTAGTTAGTGCGCGGGGCGGGGGCTAGTAATAAACAAAGGAAATGTACTGCACTGAGCCGGAAGTACTAATTAAGCGAATGAGTTGTGGGCGGAGCAGAGTCCTTTGATGGGGGAAAAAAAGACAACTGATTGGGGTAAAAGAGAGAGAGAGAGAGAGAAGGAGAGGGGAGTGCCTGCGAAAAACCCACATCTACTTGACGTGAATGTTGGGCTTAAATCCGGCATTTCTTGCCAGCGCGCGTGAGTGTGTATGTGTGTACGTGGGTGTGTGTGTGGATGCGGATTAAGCCTGAAACATGGCAATGCATTTGCTGTGCGATGGCCCCAAAAGTCCGCCCACCAGCGCCACCAAGGCAACCTCATTGCTGGTTTTCTTGTGCCGCCACTGCCACTTGGCCAAAGCATCACACTGCAAGTTGGCAACAAAGTGGTTAAGACAAATGGGTTACGTGATAAAATGCGGTTACTCAAATTGCATGTATGCAAGCTTACATGTTGTGTCACAGTATTCGTGTGTGGGTGTGGGTGTGTGTGAGTTTTCGGCGCGGGTGTGCGGTGCGGTGTATGTGGGTGTGTGTGTGTGAGTGTGGGCCAAGTGTGCCATGTGTGTGTCCGGGTTTATTTAGCATTGCCAGGAATCGTGAGACGAGCGGGCCGAAACGGGGAGCCAGCCATCAGTTGCTGCACTTTGCCTGCTCCGCGTTTAGCTGTTTTTATTTTCTTCCTCCTCTCCATTGCCTGCCTCTGTTGTTATTGTTGCTCCAGTTCCTCTTTTTATTGTTGTTGTTGTTGTTGTTATCCTTTCTGGGCCGTATTAGTTGTTTTTGCCATTGTGCACTTATGCGCTATCAGCCTTTTGCGCTGCTCTGCCCGTCCGTCCGCGGTAGTTATTGCCGGTTGTTTGTTTGTCTTTTTTATAAATATATATACGAGTATGTGTGCTCAGATATGTTGCCACAGCCGCCCGTCTTTATCTGCATTAGAGCCACGACGATTAGTATACTCTAGCAAGGACTCCAGGGACATGTCCTTGTCGAGTGATTTTATTGTGTGTACATACATTATACATTTCGTATGTTATGTTTAAAAATGTATTATTTTTAAAAATCTTTTATTAATGTATCAATACTAAATTAATTTTGAATAGTGTTATAGATCGATTGATAGGTGGTTAGATAGTATATTCAGGATCCCACTTTGTTTCGGCTCACCATCTTAGCCTATTTTCATAAACAATTTTTAGCAACTGCAGGTCCTGTGCTCCGCTTTCCCTACTTTTTGCCATTCCTCTCGCAGCTCCACATATGTAACTCGGGCTGTAAAAAACATTTGCATGTGTGCTGGCAGCGGAGAGAAAGAGGTTTGCCGTCTGTGTGTCAGGCATAAAGTAGCAACCATGAGACCTTCTCCCATCGGGCTTCCCGACCAGCCCGCGTTTCCTACGCGGTTTTCATTGTCGTCTAGTTTGGGGTTTTGTTCGCTTCTCTGCCCATACGCTTCAAAGTTTTATTTGCCATTTTTGTGTGCTGCGTTTTTTGTTTTCGTTTTCAACGTGATTTTACAATAAAAAGAAAACACTCCACCGAAGTTGCGGAGCTGCTGCCGTTTTCACTTTTATGGGGCGAAACTATTAAAGCATAAAAGGCAACCGAACCCGCGGCACAACCCCAAACATAATTACAGGCGAGTGGATGAGCGTGGAGTTCCATAAAACTGCATGAAGGGCTCCCTGATTTCGGGGCTTTTTACGAGCAGCGAGCTTTCGCTAATTTGAGGGAATGCCAATGTTATTCGAGTTGCATTTTTCGGTTAATCTGCATCTGAAAGTGGGGATTACCATTAATATGTATGATATACTTCTTGGGAAAACCTTTTTAAAATATGTATGTTTTTGATTAGGTCTCGGCTGATATCCAAACTATATCGTTACTTACTTCAGTTGACAATTCCTTGCTAATTCTTAACCACATTGTCGGACTGCCACTTCTGGTTCAAGTGTGTGCTGCAAATGCAACACAGATCGGCTTCCTCCTCGGTTTATCCCACTCATCCCTCGAACAATACATGCGAGCACTTTGGCCATAAAGTGCTCCGCTGCTTCCGCTGGCCGCAGTCGCAATCGTGGCTGCTCTAATTTTTACAGCGCTTGCATGCGGCCGGAACATCCATTAGAACAATAACAAACACAGCGGCGGGGAAGCCACAACAAGTGCATCTAAAAGATGCAGCCATTTTTAACCCACTTAAGTGGTCAGTGGGGGAGGCGAATGGCGAGTGGCTGGCTGCTCTCTACTCGTACTCTCCATGAAATTGAAGTTTTCAATTAATTTTCAATACAAGATGGAGAGCCGGCAAGTTTCGCCCGCGGCGACCAGCTAATAGAACAACATAAAAAGCAGCTAAGGAAAATAGTTTTAGCGGTTTTTCCACACACACATGCACTCCCACATCCCCATCCATTTTCTTTGCTGGAAAAGTTTGCTGGGGGAGACGAATGAGCCTGGTAATTGGCCGTCTGGAGTGACCGCAAATTAGCCAACGCCATCGCAGGAATTAGTGTCAGGCGAAGTTATCCGCTGGACCTTCTAACTCGCCTTTGTGCCTTTGTGTACTCCAATTGCAGCTTCGGAGTCGGTCAGTAAGCTCTTTCGTCAATCAAGTGCCTCCAAATCCACGCCCTCGAAGTCGGCGCCCGCCGACAAATCGGATGCCGCCTCCACGGCCTCGCTCACCCTGTCGCTGAGTTCGCTGGCCAGCAGCGGCAACCTGGAGCCTCCGGAGCGGCAGCCCTCGATTGCCGAGACGCCCACCCCCGCGGAGGACTCCTGTTCGATGACTGCCTCCCACACCGCCTCCACGGCCCTTATGATGGACGCTCCTGCGGCGGAGGAGGAGGAGGTGGTGGCTCCCAAGCCCGAAACACCGCAGCTGCGAGGAACGCCGAACGGTAAGTCAGAGGACCTTGCACTCAGGAGCCGCTAATTAGAAGCTCTATCCCCGCAGCTAATCCCTTTCTGGCGGAGAACTCACCGCTCCGACAGACGGTCGTGGGTCGAACCCTGGTCTCCGTGAAAATCGGCAGCATCCTGGAGCAGCCGATGCTCCACTACACCGCCCGCCTGGTGGCAGCTCGCTTCCTGCTCAGCGGACAGGCGGCGGGACTGCAGCCGGACAGCTTCAGCCGGGTGTCTATCAAGAGCCTCTCCCTGGCGGTGGTGGCCCACTGTGTACGGCTGGCGCCCAGGGTGCTCCAGCTCAGTCTGGAGATCAGCGATCAGGAGCTGCAGCTGCTGGAGGACTCGCAGGTGGTGGCCAGTGGCGACAGCACCCAGGCTTCCAGTCCGCAGAGCAGCGATAACTCTCAATTGAGTGCAGATAAATCAACCGTGGACAGTCCCCTCATTCAGACTGAGCTGGAGGAGAATATGCTGCTGCTGGACATCAAGGACGACCACTTTGGCCCCAGCACATGTCCTGCCTATCTGCAGCCAACTACTCCCTCCCTCAGCCGCAGTGCAGATGCCTCGGTTCTGCTGCTCGGAGGCAGCTCTCCATCCCGGTCTGCCAAGAGATCGGCGAACGAGGAGAAGCTCTCCAAGTCCGAGATTATCGGCAGCTCCTTTCGACCCACTGTGGCTGCGGAGGATGTGCCTCCGCTGAGTCTGCCACCGCGTCCTCCCAAGCGCACCAAGTCCACGCGCAGTCGAGCGGGTCTAATTGGATTGCCTTCGCCAGCAGAGAGTGCTCCGAAGCAGGGAAGCCAGGCACTCTCGGACGTCCTGCTCTTCCACGACCACTGCGATCCCATTCTGCGGGGAGGCGTCCAGCAGGTTGTGGGCTACTTCCTGCAATCCAGCGGCGCTGGAGTGTTCCTGGAGCTGCGGCGTAATCTCGGCCTGCAACACTTGCTGGCCATTTTGCTGAAGGTGAGTGCATCGATAATCCCGAACACAAAGCGTTCCGTAGCCACGGGCACTCCGGAGAAAGTTCCCTAATGGGTGGCTCCACGGTTAATGGTAAGCCACATTACATGTATGCCAACCCGCTTTGTATATCTGGCGCTATATCTTTGTCATAGAACGCCCACTTGCCCCACTCTTCGCTACTGTTTTTTTCACCATGTTACTCCGTTTTCTCCCCTGCGTTTGCATAACGCATACGCCACGTTGTACGATAGAATATTTGCTTTACCCTTTTCAGAGTACAGAGATTTGGTTAGGAAGTACACTTCGTATTATATCTATACAAACTAAAGACTTATAATTATCAAGGCATTAAATACTGTTTATAAAAATCTTTATTTTTTATGAGAAGAAAATTGGTTGAATAATTTTATTCGGAATTCAAGAGCATTCCGTCTTCGTATGATCTGAATTACCATGTGTCAGTAGCTCCCCTTTTTGCGCTCCCTGCGCAAACATTCTATATCTATAAATATGCGCCCCCACCTTTTCGCTGTACTTTTTTCTATGTTAAACCATCAAGCTAACATATTTTAACACATGCAGGCAAACGAACACACACGGACCCGGACACGTGTCCATATCAATGGCTGCTGCCTTTTGAATATTTCCCAGCTCCGGCCACCGACTCAAGCCAACTGCAGCTGCAGTGGCAGTGGCTGTGGAAGTGGCAGTGGAGCTTGGCCGGCGGCACTCAGTGTGCTGGTTGTTTTTCATTGGAAAGCAAGAAAGAGAATTCTTATCGCCCTCGCAATGTGCAAGTGCAAATGCCCCCAAAGGGAGCAGCGCATCCGCTGCCACGGTGGCTCCTCCACCATCCACCTCCTCCAGAAAATACCCTTCCGGCATGCGGAATGTGCGCATAAGTTGCACATTGATTTCTGTCTGGGGATTGGCCGTGGCAGTAAGTTGGGCCCGGTTTCTTATTGAATTCAATAATTTAGTGGCCGGCACCGAACATTTAAATTGCTACTGGCTGTGCTGGCCCCCCAAAAGTGCAATTTGATTATGCAATGTTGTTGCAGCGAAAAGTAGGGGTTGTCGAAAGGGCAAAGGAAAAAGGGAAGGGAAAAAGTGGATAGGGGGAACGCAGGACGTGCTGGCTGAAAATCACATTAGAAGCCTGCTACATAATGGCTGCAAATCCGTCTCAATGGCACTTGCCAGCATGCCAAAATTGGAGCCAAAACGAGATAGGGAAGATCCTCCCCGGAGCAGGAGCAGCAGCCAGAGGAGCAGGAGCAGGCCAAAGGCAAAGCAACTTTGATAACAATAGCCCTTTGCAGCTAGGAAAAGCTTGTTAGGGATTCGTTAAAAATGCACACACTCCCCCAGAAGGATGGCCGCAATCCGGATGCCGGAGAGCTGGCCACTGTGTGATTGTGGAAAACTTTTTGCTTGTGCAAACAATAAAACACAAATTCGCTTAGCCAACGTCTCGCTTTGGCCGTCTTCTGCCTGTTCTTGAGACCCTGTATAAAGAAATTTAGCCGAAAACTTTTTCTAGCTCTTCCCTTCGTTTCGTTTCTTGCAGGGATTCGAGGACGAGATCCACACAGTGGTTATACAAGCGTTGAATGCATTCGATAAGATATTTCCGCATGTGGTGTCCAAATATTTGACAGAGCCGCCATGTCATTATCATGCTCATCAGCAGCAGCAGCAGCGACAGAAGGAGCAGGAGCTAAAGTTGGAGCAGGATGACAAGGAGCCAAAGGAGCAGGACCTGCAGCGACATTCAAGTGGACAACAAAGGCGTCCGGGCCAGGCGCAAACATTTGGCCAACAAACTTTTGCCAGGGAGCAGGATAATGCCTTAAGCAGTCGTCGGCAGCAACAAAGGGGTCCTAACGATGATGCCGGGACATGTGCCAAGTCCTCCTCGGCCACTGATAATGATGAGCTACTGGCTGCTCTTTTGAATGATTTCCAATTGCAATCGACTGGCATGCAGCAACAACAGCAGGAGCAGCAAAAGAATAGCGGGCAGTCGGGTAATGAGGCCGACCCCAAAGTGGAACCCTTCTGCGTGTTTGCCATCTCGCCCAAATTGCTCTTGAGCAAACTCCGGCTCTGCCATCACAATAAATATTGGCTGGTCCAGAATAAATACGCCGAAGTTATCTCGAATTTAAATTACGTGCTGCTGCGGTCGTACTACGCAAATTTTCGATGCGGCTCAGACAACAGAAGCAGCCAGGGAGCCAGGGAGCAGGACTCCACGACGAAGGACGAGGGTGAGGACATTGTCTGCACTTATGAGGTAAGCAGCTAAATCGTCTTATTACAGCCGGGCCCGCTGGCAGTCCGCCGCACTTCTGGCCAGCTTGTTTATTGTGCAGATTATTTTACGAGTGTGTTTTCGCCCGACTCTGCAGCTCTGCAGCTCCGAAAGCAATTCGAGTGCCTGGCGCTCCGTCCTCTGACAACTCTTATTGAACATTTGTGCACTCAAGTGTGTGGCCGGGCTCTTTGTGCATTCCGCAGGAGACTGCGGAGCGCATCCTGCCGAATGTTTCCACGACTTACCGACTGACAAACTGACGGACCGACGACTGACGCGCAGAGCTTCGGGCTTTTTCATGGCGCTCGCACATATATTTGTTTATTTATTATTTTGACAAAGCTAAGCAATTTACTAAATGGCACAGAGGGGGGAAACGTACGCCAACTCGAGAGTCGGCAAACAATCGAGCCGAAAGAAGGCGACTGGCGGATCAAACTGAGCACCAAGAAACGTAATGGCATGAGCAGAACTTGACTAGTGTGCCTAGGCGCCCATCAATAGATGGGATAGGATAGGCAAGGATAGTGGCCCAGATTTAGTATTCCAATCGCAGTAGCAATTATGGTTGACTGTGTTTTCACAAAGTTCAAAACTTCGCATCCCGCATTTTTGCTGGTTGCACACTCAGAAAAAAAGGATTTGAAACAATAACAAGTTCTATTGGTTTATTGCTGGGAACTTACAATCGAAATTAGAAAATTAACAACTTATTTACTAAGCCGTTCTCCTGCCTAAATATATTAGTAATTTCTTTTAAGCCTAGTCCTAGTTAGGTTTTCTCGAGTGTAGCTCCTTGCGGGGTAAACCGACTAGGCAAACCGCATCTGCACGGCATCGGGAACTGCCAAACTGCATAATGAAAACTTGGCTCACTTTTTGATTTACAACGTGCCGTCAAGCGACTCAAAAAAACACTTTGCTCTCGCAGGCGCAGTTCCTGGCTGAACTTTTACATCTGCTCGGCGACGATGATGCGCGGGTGCGGGAACACGCCGCCTGCTGTCTTTGCCGCTTTATAATGCAAACGGCGCGCCAGGACCCTTCGACGGCCAAGGATGGGGATGGGGACCGAGGAGCGGGCCAAATCGAAGGCTCCACCAGTGGCAGTGGCAGTGGCAACGTCAACGTGGAAACTCAACAAACTAATTTCAATTTGCTGTGGGATTTTTTCGACTATCGCATATTTGGCAGCATGTCCGTGACGTTGCGTAATTTATTCCGGGCCAGTTCGACGATTGTGCCTCCGCTGGCTGAGTTGGATGCACTACCCTCCTCTAGCTCCTCCTCGGACTCCTCGGGCAGCACGTCCTCGGGATCGGCAGCTGCCTCCTCAGGATCCGGAGCCCCAGTCTCCGCGGCGGCGGCCTACTTCGCGGCGAGTTACGGCATCGGAATCGCCGAGGGGCATGTTTTTTCGCTGGCATCGGCGGGCCAACGTCAAATCGCGCAGGAGGAAAAAGTTTTGGCCAAAGTTTTGTATCGCTTGACAAATAAATTGATGACGCTGAATGATAAAAATGTGCAGGTAAATATTTGTGTGCCAGCCGCCAATCGAAGCGAACCGAATCGAATCGAATCGAACAGAATCGAATCGAGGCGAATCGACCAGACCGCTCTCATTCCCTCCCCCTTTTCCCTCTGCCCGTTACAGTTTGGCATAATTTACGCGCTGCGCCTCCTGCTGAGGCACTTCAATTTCGTGGACTATCAACAGACCTGGCTGGAATTCAATTTCGTCGAAATTTGCATTAGCTATGCCTACTACAACAATGCAACAGCTGCGGACCTCAGCTGCCAGAACGATTTGATTGATGTGATGGGCAAACTAATGGCAGGTGAGTGGGCCCGATCGCAAAGGGGTTCCCATTGTGGGTCTGAGTATTATTCTGATTCTGGGGTCGATTTACTGGGATACTTCCTTGCCCCCGATCCGACCGACACTCGCATTCATGCCGCATTAATGCACGGATGGCTGGCTGGTCGAATGCATTCCCGATATTTCCGATATTTATTGGATTTATTCGACTGGCGGCCGGAGGTCTGCGCTTTGTGGCTCGTTTGGCTAATTTAATTTAAATGGAATTACAAAAACAGTAATTTTTAGTCTGAGACTGCATATTTAATTGCATTATGCTGTAATGAATGCTGTGGCAACGTTTGCATAAATCATTTTAATTAATTGTTTGTCATTAAATAGATTTGCATAAATATTTTTATGCTGCGGTGTAAGTGACTGGGCGCAGTCTATTTTTTTCCAGCTGTTATTATTTTTAAATTTAATCAGGGCAACGGGAAATTAGCATAAATGGTTTTAAATTTCCGTTTCACTAAAAGTTTGTTTGGCTACCAAAAAGGTTAGCAATTAAAATTAGAAAAAACCCAGTGCAGACTGCAAACAGGTCGAATATAAAACACTCTTCAATATAAGTATGACTAATCCAATTTATGTGGTAAATAGTTTTCCACAGACTACTCTAATTCAGGCTACAAAAACTGCGATTTACATTGAAATTAATACAGTTTTAGTATAGACAACAGACTGCATTCCAGTCCCGACTTTCCCACAATTTAGCCTGGGGTTTATAATTTAATAATTTTCAACAACATCATTAACAAAGTGCGTATCTAAAAAATACCAGCAACTGTGGCAACATCAACATCAGCGGCAGTTACGCGGATAGTGCGCTAATAAACATTTCAATTCAATTTACAAAATGTTTATAGCGCACAACAAAAACGCAAACAGCAGACCAAACTTCAACTCAATTTCATTAGTGCATTTCACATCGAACCACCACTCCACCCATTCGTCGAATCGGCCGACGTGCATTAGGATGCTATAAATTTGGGGACATTATGCCGAGGGGCGGGGCAGCGGCGACAGGCGCTCAATTATTTATCATGCCGGTCGCGTACTTGCTACGCGCTAATGTAATCCACCATAATCAAAAAGTAATTAAATTATTAATAAACCATTAAATGTTAAACAATTTTTGTGTCAGCGGCGCCGGCTGCTCTTGCACTGCCCATCGATCCTATGGCGATTTGCATTTGCATTTGTGCTGCTTACATGCATTTCGCATTTCCCATTTTGCATTTCGCATTCAACAATTTAATATTTAAGCCGCGTGCACTTATGTGGCCGCGTGTCCTTTAGTCCTTTTGTCCGTGTGGCTCGCATATCTGCACATCGATTTGGAAACGGAATCGCCAAATGTTTTCCGACACTCCGCGTGCGCTTCATGATAAGTTTTGACAGTTGCCAAAATGTATGCAAATAGTTTCCAATTCATGTCCGAGCGGAAAACAAAAAGCCCGCGAAAATCCCTTAATTGTAGCCTGTGTGAATTCACAGTTCACCAATGGCTTAAAGCCACTTAGCCACCTGCATTACAATGTTATTTAAGGTAGGGCTTGTTGTTATTTTAAAGCTAAACTTGTAGATGGTAGTACTGCTCTTATTACTAATATGTGTCGAATAAACCTGAGATGAACTCCCTTTATTCCATAAGAGCTTTCAGATGATTAGATGAATGAAAGGAGTAATGAAACAGTTTTAATGAAGCAGCTTTGAAGTTTGCACTAATAATAAATGAATGAATTTTAAGGGCCTCGGGGAATCATTTATCACAATTGTCCGTGTACGAATGGTCTTGTGTGCCGTGCGGTTTAATTCATCTACTTACATATCGTGAGCGGTGCGAACTCCACCTTTTCCCCTCTAGGATCCAATGTTGCACTGGCGCCAAACGGGAAAAATAACTGAAATGCGCGATAAATAAATATAAATTGGTAACGGAAGAATGGCGGCGTCTCATTGCGATTGTGTGCGATTTTCAATTAATTAGTAAATGTAATGCAAACTGCGATCCGGGCCGCAGGCGTATCCAATCGCCCAATCGCCCATCGGAGCACCCGAAGGGGGCTCTTTAAATGGCTCCCTTAACACTTAATTTTTATAAATATTTATGCGCACACAATTTAATTTATTTGTAAATAATATTTTTTTGCACCGGCGTTTCCTTTGCCGCTGCCACAGAAATACAAAAATGCAGAAATACAAATTTAAAATGCTTATTGCCGGAGCGCGTTGCATTGTTGACACATAAATTGAAATGTTGCGTGTCTCGCAGTGCAGAAGCAAACACACACCGCACACACAACACACACACGGCACACACGCGTTAATTAATGCAGATAAATCATAGCGGACTTTGAAGCGTTTTCCGCTCGTTACCTATGCAATTTTTGTTTTAATTTCGCATTATTTTTCCGCCTTTTCGGCCTTCGCCCGCATCCGCATATCCGCATCCGCATATCGCCATGGCAATCCCATTGAATCAGGCATTTTTCAATTGCAAATCCATTAATGCGTTTTTCATTCGGTGAGCTGCAATTACGCCGCATTTGTATAATGTTGAGGGCTCGTTTGCATTTTAACACAATTAGCCGGGCGGGATCACTTAATTTGCCATTAATAAGCCACCGCCACCGCCCTTCATCCGTCACTCCGTCACTCCAGGTGCCCTGCTCTCCTCCGGCGAACCAAGTGGCCCTCACCTGGACTTTCTGCTGCGCCACAGCGTCAAGATGCTGAACGTCTACTTCCACCTGGCCACCAACCAGCGCCCGCCCACTGGATCCCACCACGGGAGCTCGAAGCCCGCCAAGAGCGAGCTCTTCGCCCGCGAACCGCCAGCCGGATCCCCACAGGCGATGGGTTACTTTGCCGGCGATTACGTTTACATGAAACTTTACAACGTTTTAAGAGGTGCTAATGACAGCTACAAGGTAAGTCAAGCCACGGATTCCCGGAGTCGCAGATTCGCAGATTCGCGGACTCGAGCGAGCAACCGCCATTAAGTCGCTGGTGGCGCCGAAATGGCAAAAGTTGCACAGCACGTGCACTGAGATTTCGCAGCATTCGGGATTCAGGACTGAGGACTCAAGCTACGAGATGGAGTTGCCCTCGCCCGCCTGCGTTGCACGTAGAGCGCAATGCGCCGTTTTATATGCAACGGCAATGAGTTGTAAAAATTCAACCCGCGACGAAATGCAGGCAACGTAGCATCCTCACTTGACTTTTGCCACTTTTGCCACTCGCAGCTCAAACAGAAAACTTCTCGCGCCGAGTGACTTAATGTGCGGGTTGCATTAGGGCCCCCCAGCCACCCATCAGCCACAGGATCTAACTGGGTAACTCTTTATTCCGCCTCCCCAGATAACCATAAATCACGAGGCGGGCAGCTTATTAATTTGTCTCCTCAAAACCTGCCTCAACGCACTGAGCCTCTGCCTGGAGGCCATGGACAGTGGCTCGCCCCCGGAGCTCAAACTAATCGAAGAAGTGCTCCACTATCTGACCAAGCTCATAAATTATGCGCCCGCCGAGTGCGTTGCATGTCTGCGGCAACTGCTGAAATATTTATTCGCCCAAAATTATGCCAGCCAAGTGCGGCTGCAGCCAACGCCAACCAGCGGTGGAGTTGGTCACCATGCCTCCTTCATCCGTCCCTTCTTCGCGGCCAAGGGCAGGGGTCACGGCGCCGGCTCAGCACCGTTGCCAACAATAAATTCAAAACCCGAGGAGGCTCTCCGCGGGGCAGGAGCAGCCGGAGCAGCCCACCGCCAGCCAATTGATACTGATACTGACGCCCCGCTCCAGGCGATGGGCATGCTCTTTGTCCAGGGCCTCCAGCCGGCCTCTCCGCCGACGGGCGACTGCGTCCGGCTTATAAAGCTATTCGAACCACTGGTCATATACTGTCTGACGGTGAGTACACTCCAAGAAATATACAAGTAGTTTGAAGCAGAAGTAAAGAGAGGGTAAAGCTGAATAGGAACCCATTCATGCCATTAAATCAATATAAATTGAAAGCTGAATTACATATGAAATTGAAATACATATTGAATAGTAATTCATACCTTTTACTAGAATATTCCATAATTATTTCCACTTTTTCGCAAGTGTAACAACGTTACGTTGGCCAGCGATGGCTAATTAATTTTAGTTGTAGCCAATTTGTTTGATTAAAAATGCACAGACACGAATAGCGAACGTCCTGGGGAGCAGTCCTTAATCTGCCCCGCATGTGAGTGTGTTGGCTGGTTCAAAGTGCAGCCATTGATATTTTATTAATGGCAGAATTTGTGCTAGCATTCCCGCATGTAACACACTATATACCTCAATCCCTCTTTCTCCGCTTTCAGCTCTTCATGAAATCCAATGCGCTGGTTCAGGCGCCCATTTTGCAACTACTTTCCCAGCTGCTGGAACTCAATGTAACCTACAGCATTCTGGACTCCAAGAACGTGATATTCGACCAGATACTGAGCACCATGGATCTGATCGAGAGTGGAATTGATAGGTAAGCCATAAGCATATAGATAATGATATAATAGTATCTGTAAGGCTCCCAATAAGAAAACACTTACAGGGTTGAGTTTTTTGTAGGAAACTGATTTTATTCTTTCTTGAGTTTGGTTTATATAGGCAATATTTGTATGAGTCTGAACAGTATCTTTGTTATCTCCCCTCAATTACAATTGCTCGTTTAATTTCAAATTGCTCTTTCAGAAACGCCTTTATAATTGTGCCACCCATGCTGCGGTTCCTGGTGCAGCTGACCCACAAGAGCGTCCGGCAGTTGATCACCATCCCCAAGATCATCAGCATCACCAACAACCTGCTGGCCAACGGGTCCGTTCGCGAGGTGGCCCTGCTGGCTTTAAAGACCCTCAGCTACGAGCTCTTCTTCATGCACAGCCAGCTGGAGGAGGCACTGGACACGGAGGAGCATGGCTCGGGAAGAACGGCGTGCCAGAGTCCTCTGAGCGCGGCTCCCACACCGGAAACCAGAGAGGCCTTGCTGGCGCAGCGTCGCGAACTGGACACCCAGCGGGAGGTGGTCCTGGGGATGCTGGAGAAGTTCATCGAGGCGCGGCCGAGTCAACAGGTCCTGGCCCTCCTCCTCCTCTTCGAGCGGAGTGTGCAGGAGCTGGACACGCCTCCCTACCGCAGTGCCCAGGACGCGGACGCCGTCTACGGAACGCTGTGCCGCGGCCTGGCCTCCAACCAGTGGCGCCTCCACTCCGCCGGAGACCTGCGGCTGCTGGAGAGCTGCTTCCGCAACAACGGCAACCACGTGCTGGCCGACAGCAAGGGATTCCTGCAGCTGCTGCAGCTGTTCGTCGAGCAGGTGGGTTAAATATGCAGGATGCAGGGCCTAAAACCTGGCAAGCCACTCCGTTGCTCAGTTACTCAGTTGCTCAGCCAGTCAGCCAATTCAGAGCTGCCCATCGGGACTTCAATTACGCAGGGCATGGAGGCAGTGAGTCTCCGCTCCGGCAGATCGAACTCATAAATATGCGAGCTGCCTGCTTAAATATACATGCCATGCCGCACACACTCACTTCGAGGCGTCGGGCAATTTGTAATATTTATGAATGCAGACGGAACTTAAAACACAGCCGACATGCAAATGAACATAAAGCTGTCTATCAGCCGCCGGTTTGGCAGGCTGCCAATGCAAATGACATATGAATGTCCTGAGTCCTGAGTCCTGAGTAGGTGTCATCGGGCGTGCCAGGCATCCACTTAATAATATAATTGAAGTAATGCCACAAATTACAACGCTCTCAGTTTGGCAACGTCGGCCGTGCGACTTAACTGGTACTTAGTTTCGACGCCAGCAATTGCATAAATTGAACTCGATTGAGCTCGAATTGCCGGGCGACAGATGCTTTGGCTTCAAGATGACAGGCGATTTCATCAGTTTGCATTCGTTCGGAGTCAGTGCCGAATGAGTTTTGTGTAAAGTATCGAAAGCCAAGGCAACTCGAAAGGTGGCAAAAACACCTGTAGGGCCTCTGCCACCATCGAAGCTCATCAACGATTTGTCATTGGCCGTCCGTCCGTCCGTCCGTCCATTCAACCCTCTGCATTTCCATACACACGAATGCACTTAGTTGCAGTTACAGGGCAATTTTTTATTTCGCCTTGCTGTTTTTGCTTTTTACTACAGTTGTTGTTGTTGCCACTGCTGTTGCTGTAGCTGTTGCTGATCCATGTGGCGCTGTAGTTAATGTGGCACATGTCGTATACGTGACATTTTTAATACCTACGCTTCAACGCCGCACATTTTCAACTATTAATGCGCATTTAAGCTACACATGCATTAACTGTCGGGCAGGAGTTGCCTCACATGTATGTACATAGCTCGTACTCCTCCTGCTGCTGCTGCTGCCTCCGGGGCAGGGCCACGCCCCCTGCCATCCCGCCCCCAGATAGACCAGTCAACCGTTATGCTACAGTTAAACCAACTTAATTACACAGTCTCACTAGCGAGTGTGTGTCGCTTCTCGGGGGCCGGTGGCCTCACTCGAGTCGAGTTGAGTAGGGTGGAGTGCTTGTCGCAGTAGGCAGTCAATTGCACGTGAAGACCCAACTTGACCCCGGCTGCATCCACCTGTCTAACGCCCTTGGCCACTGGCCACCCACCCAACTGGGCACCCAACTGCCATCCCCCCAAATCGCTCGTATTAATGGCGACCTGACACTTTACTGCCACCGGCAATTCAACTTCATTTAACTTGTAAGTTATGCGCACGGCTTAAAAACTTTAACTAATTATCGTTTATTTAATTTTGACATGCAGGAGAGATGAGTTGGTTGGGAAAGTTTAGAGGGTTTTATGCACTCGTCGCCGCTCAAGTGGGATGAGTAATTAACACACCAAGCCCCCATCACCATCCTCCCTTATTTATGGGAGGCAGGTGACTAGTTTTATGGCAGCAGCGTTTTAATTGAAATTGAAATTGCACCGCAACTTAAACAACATTCTGCGTGTAAACATTTACTCGAGGAGGCACGCGAGGCGTTCGGAAAAAAGCTTATTTAAAATGTGCACCGCAGCAAATGGAATTGCACTCGCCACATGTGGCAAACGCAGAGGCTGAAGGAAAGCGGGGAGGATCCACTCTAATTACTGCCGGAAAATATGTTGATGTTGGCACTGGCAACTTTGTCACACAAATTTATGCAAACTTTCACACTTTACTGCACTGGCGGTCAGCAACGAAAGGAGTCATCAGCCAGCGAACTAACGTCTTTCTCCCCTTTCTCTCCCCACTTTCGTTGCAGGGCGTCGGCAACTTTGGTGATTTGGCCCTGGCCACGGTCGTGCTGGCCAACGTGATCCTGAAGACCGAGGAGATTTATCTGGTGAATCACATAAAACTTTATTTGAAGAACAATCCAACAGCCGAGCGGCGTCTGCACTCCCCTCCTGCCCTCCGCCTCCGCTGCTCCTCTCTGGAAGGACGAGGAGCCCTCCACCTCCTCGGCGGCCGCAGCTGCCCGGGCGGCCGCTTCCGCCTCCTCCGCCTCCCGCTCGACCATCAGCGAGATTAACTACTTCGCCAAAGTTCTCTCCGAGAAGCTGCTCGCCTGCCTCGACGTCCTGCTGGGCCAGGACTCCAGCTCGATTCCCAGCCACGCCTACGCTCAGTTGGCCGCGCGGTTCGTCGACGCCCTGCAGAACGTCTGCTGTCGCTCGCGGCACAAGGACGCCCTCCAGTCGGTGTTCCGTTTGGTCCTGGCCGAGTCCGAGTTCCTCTGCAAGTTCCACGGCCTGCTGCTGCTGAGTGCCGCCGGCCAGGGCGGATCCGGCCCACTGGACGCCGTGCTGCTGGCCTCCCTGCGACTGCTGCTGGCCATGCGGCTGGAGGAGCCTGCCACCCTCCTGGAACAGGCCGCCCAGCTGCCGCTGAGGAGTAACTTGCAGCGGGCGGTGCTCCGCGAAGTTTGTCGCACCAATGTGGTAAGTGAACTGGGGGAAAACTGGGCTTACAACATTTTGTGGTCATTTCAGATTGGGTAATTATTTATTCAAAAGAAATTTAAAATTCTCCAAAAGTGGTCAGGAATATTATTTTCGGTTTCGTACACTGCAAAGATATACAGGGGTGGTCAAAAGTAATTTCACAAAATAAAAGTGAAATATACTCGAAACTTGATCTTGCTCCGCTTAATTTTTGGCATCAATGGAAAGGTAATTTAAATGCCGTTTGAATGATGCACTACTTTTCTTAACCCATTCAGTACTTATTGAAAATTCCGAATGTCCTTAAATGCATCTCATTATTCAGCCATATCTATATGAACTCCAGAACTGACCACAGTCTTTGTAATTAGTGCTTTAGTTCTTGCAGTGTAACCAAGCAAAGGAGGGCAGCGCAGTCATGGCGAATCAGACACATTAGTTTAATTTGAGTTTGGCAGACGACAGCGATTGTTGGGCCTTCAGAACCGCCGCGTTCCCCCCTGAATATCCAAACCATAAACGACAATGCGAATTTTTCCAGCTGACAGTTGTCGCGCTCGCAATTTTGCGGTTCACCGCACCGGGTTTTCGGTTTCGGCTTTCGGTTCAGAGTCCCGCCGACGGGAGTGAGCCTTTAAACGGTTGGCTTACTTTAAGCACTGTTCATTGGCGGGCATAATTTAAATGATTGCCACTCGAACATGCGCCACTTGTTGGCTAATGGCTCCCCCATCCTCCCATCCGCTTTCCAATCGCTTATAATTCCCGGTGAACCCGACCAAATCACAATTGTCCACTAATTGCAGGGCTACGATTGGAGTGCGCAACAAGTGCGCCGCCTGTTCGACGGCAGGTATCTGAATTTCCTAATTGCTGACCACTTGGAATTCCTTTGCGAACTATGCCAAGAGCGTCCCGAGTGCGGCTCATTACTGCAGGTGGCCCTGCTGCGGAGCGCCCACCGATTGAGCAGGGTAAGTTGCGATGACTTTTGCATAACAAAGCGCCTCCCTCATCAGCCCCTTTCTTCTCCCCTCCCCCATCTTTGTCCCCACAGCCATCCATTCGCATCGTCCTTCGGCTCTTGGGACGGCTTTGTGAGCCCGCCGAGCAGGGCGCCTCCGGAGACGCCGCCGGGGATGCGGACGCCACCCTGCAGGCCCTCCAGCTCCTTAGTCGCCTCCACCAGCTGCACGAGGGAGAGCGCTCGCTGCAGCTGCCCGTCGAGCGGATGGCCCGCCGCCTGAGTGCCCAGAGCGGTCCGGCGGCCAGGAGCGTCATCTACGAGCGGCTGGTCGAAGGGGACCTCGCCGGCGGTGAGGACCAGGACGCCCTGCGCACCCTGCTGTGAGTAGATCCTTGGCAATTACTCTTCGGAAGGAGTGCAGATTTGCATTCACTTTATGCGAATGTTAGTTGTTGGGGTGGTTCTTTTGCAATGAAATTATAGGAACCACATTTGCTGAATATGTTTAAATAATTATTTTCCTTACTATAATTATTGATTTCCAATTAACTGAATTTATTTTCCTTACCATAATTATTGATTCCCAATTAACAGAATTTTAAATAGTTTCCTAATGCTGAGCTTTTTCTTTGCGATGTTGTGTCACCTTAATGTGACATGAAAATATTGTAAGACTTCCCCCCACAATTTATAAAACACAATACGTCCCACCCTGCTGTAAGTGGTTTCCCTTCCCCCGCCAAGCAAGTAAACCACTCAGAGCCACCGAAGAGTACTCCCTGTTCGGATCAGCAGACTCTCATTATCCTCGATGCTTTTATTTATGTTTCATTGCTCCGCATCGCAGACTGAAGGACCTCGAGTGCCGCCAGGACAATGAGACTGCAACGCCGTCGCGCATAATTGATGAGAGCTGGCTCTTTGCGCAGGTGAGTGGGACGAGCACTCGGCCATTATGGCACTGCCACAGCTAATTTGTTGTTCTTTTCCTCCCCTTTTCCCTTTTTCCTCCTCCTCGGGTGGTTACCCCTCCCTCTGTATTGGCCACGCAGCTAATCAAGTTCGCCACCCAGCACCCGGATGCCCCGCAGCAGCAGAGGCAGCTAATGCTCCTCCTCCTGGAGATCCAGTCGGAGCCGAAGCTGCAGCGCCTGCTGCGGAGCCTGGGCCCCGAGCAGGAGGCCAGGCTGCTGCGCCACGCCATCGCGGGATCCCTGGATGCCATGCTCACCTCCTTCCGGCAGAAGTGCATCCAACATGCCCCGCACATCAACTACATGCAGCCGCCGCCGCTGGCGCGTGTGTCCTCCTCCCTGCTCCTGGCGAAGGTCTCCTCCTGCGTGCAGGCCACCCACCAGACAGCAGCTCCCAGCCAAGAGGAACTGGACGTGGCGCGGGCGGTGGCCACGCTGATGGCCTGCACCAGGAATGTGGAGCGAACAGCACTCGTCTACATCGACGCCCGGCTGGTGGAGAAGTTCGTGGCCGAGCAGCTCCTGCGCCCCGAGCACCTGCCGCAGTGGCTGGCCTACTTGGGCTGGCTAACCGAGGCGGCCAAAGGGATTCTGGATATAGTAAATGCACAGGAGGCGGAGCAGGACGCCCTGGGCACTCTGCTGGCCACCGTGGACGCGCTCCTGCAGCAGCCGCGCGTCTGGCGTGAGCTGAATGCCAGTGGTGAGCCCACCCTGCGCTGCCAGCTGCTCGAGCTGCTCGACTCGGTGGCCCGGTGCGTCCTGCAGGACAGCATTTTCCACCGACGCCACCGCCAGGAAGGGAGCAAGGCCAAGGGAGCGGCGCCGCAGGCGGTTTTCCTGGCCAAATTGATTGAAACCCAAATTGAAATCGAGTCCCTCGAGAGCGGAAGGGTCCTGGCAGGCGAGGCTGGGGATGCCCGGCTGCAGTTCGCCGGGCAGGAGTTGGCGCGGCTCCAAGTGCCACTGGTAAGTGACACTCGGCCGGTCATTTGTCAGTCCTATCCAGCGGCACTTTACCATTTACCCTTCTTCCTCCTCCTCTTTTGCAGTCGCTGGTGGCCTCCATCGGCATCTCGCTGCTGCGCACGCACCAGTTTTATGCCTACGCGGTCACTCCGCACGAGCTCATCCTCCGGCCGGAGGAGCAGCCTTTGAAGGAGCAACAGGCCCAGGCCGGCGGCAAGCTGCCGACCATTCCCGTGGACTGCCTGAGCGATGTGGATGTGCTGCGTCAATTTGTCAAGAGGTGAGTTGAGAACGGGAGTCGAAGGGTGAAGATTGGCAGTTCTTTAAATCCGAAGGAAGTAACTGGTTTAAAGCACCATTGATACTAAGGGATATTAATACGGTTCGAAGTGCTGTAATAACTTTATTGTCTATTTAATTCAAACAATAGTTGCATGCTGGATAAGCATTCAGTGGAGCAGCCTGAATTAATCCTTAAAATTGATACCTTCTTCTTGATAAACTCACTTTCTATTAAGTTATATTATTAATTCCTTAACAGTAAATAGGGGTTTTATAATCTAGTACCCTGCAATGCACTTATTATCACCTTTAAGCTTACCTCCTTGACAGTAAAGCCTTAATTAGGGAGTTCGAAACCGCCTCCTGCTAATTAAATTCGGCAATCTTACGGGTCACACCTTAAACGAAAACCAGTGGGGCTTCGAGTCCGTCACCTGGCTCGTAGGCGCCATTGTCCTCTTGGCCAACTGTCGCTCCCCTTATCAACTGGCCAGTTGCATTGTCCCGCCTGTTGGTGTGTTGTTGTGTTGCTGTATTACTGTGTTCCTTGGTGGCTGTGTGGGTGTGTTGGTGTTGCTCCTGTCGTTGTCATCGTGTCCGGCGACAACAACCAGAGCGGTAGCAACAACAAAGTTGCTGACAATGCCCTGACAGCGTTGACGAGCGCATGGCAGCTACATGGAGCGATGATGAGGACGGCAACGACGACGGCTAAACCGCAACTGGAAACATCAACATCCTGTTGTTCTATTGCAAACACAAGCACAAATCCAAACACACACAGCGACACTCGTGTGTGTGTAAAGTACGTATGCTAGAGTGCGGCCGTAAGACTTCATTGTCATCGTCATCGTCATTGTCCTTGGCTTGTTTGCCTCGTCCTTGTCACTTGACAGGCTCCCCAAGCCGCCGTTCCTGTTGCTGCTGCTGCTGCTGCTGCTACTGCTACTCCAACTGCTATTGCTGATGCCATTGCTATTGCTTTTGCTGGCCCATTGTTTCGATGGCAGTCGTCATCATTACGCTGTCAGCCGAAAGCTGAACCCCCGAAAAGCCAAAAGCTGAAAGCTGAATCGTCATCAGCCAGGAATTGGGCGGAATAATTGTACACGGCTAGATGTCTGTGGCCGTGGTCTCCACGGTGGTTGTGCGGGGCCTAAAACTTGACTTTCTCCCCCGGAAAGCATGCATACTTGCACTCGCACTTCTGCCTGACTCCTTTGCCTGGTTTGGCTGTTCTGGATGATGGCCAACCGACAAGAGCACAAACATCAAAACCACATCGGTCGGGGAGCAGCTCAGCAGCCAGCGAGGAAAGCTGCGAGGACGATAACGACAAAATCCCCAAAGGGCTTGCGGAGCGGAACATCAACAACTCTATTAGATGGAACTCTGCGCAGGATCAGCCTCGCAGGAGTGCGGAGTACGGTGTGGAGTAGAGGATGGAGTAAAAGGGACCCTGAGCCAGATGAAAGACAGCGCAGAGCAGGAAGAGCCGCCGTCGAGGCAGCGAGCGATATAAACAAATTATGAGCAGCAAAGTGAGATAAATGCATGTGTGCGTGTTGCAGATGGCTGCTAACAAAAGGCACGTCATGCCAGGATGCGGATGCGGATCAGGATGAGGATGAGGATGCCTTTGCTGGAGCAACATTGTTGCTAATTGCACAGAAACCACCACGATGCACAACAGCATCGCATCCCCGAGCTCCGCTCGAATGGATGGAGCTCCGCTCCACCGACGAATGCCTGGAGTAATCGATGACTAATTGACATTTCAGGCCTGCTCACATTTAACTACACTCCCTAAATATGTATAAATATATATACATGTGTGTATATGCTAGCATGTATATTGCATATTTTAAATATTTGAAGAGGCCAGCACTAATTGAATTAAAATTTCAAGCATTGGCTGAAAACATTTTATGCACAAATTTCAATTTTCAATTTCCAATTAATTACTTACACACACGAACGGCAGCTGGATGTGGATGCTGATGTGGATGCTTCTGCTGAAGCTGAAACTGAAGCGGATGCTACTGCTTTTGCTGGATGTAATTAAATTGACACTCATCGCCACTCCGGATTCTCGATTCCAGGCTCTCCATCTTCGGGTTCACAACGCGGCAGCAGTTCGAGGAGTACTTCATGACCAGCCTGCTGCTGATCAACCGGCTGTACGACGAGCACATGGTCGATCAGCAGGAGCAGTTCCAGATCAAGCAGGTCTGCCTGCAGGCCATCCTCGAACTTTTAATGACGTACAAAACTTTTCCCATTGTGGGCCAGGCCGGCGGACAGTTCCATCACACGACTCGCTGGCAGCGCATCACTTGTGACAGCATTAGGTGAGTTGTTTCACTTGTTCCTCCTCCTCGATGGTTGTCGCTACTCGGTTCTCCGTTCTCGGTTCTCGGTTCGGTCCCTCTGTCCATCCGTCCGTTGGGTGGAAATTTATGAAAATTAAAATTCACAGAGCGGTGGCAAAAGTTTTTAATGTGTAAATGGCAAAAAGTACAAATTAAATGCGAGCGAACGGCAAAAGTTGAGTCTGTGAATGAGCGGGCATATCCCGATTCGGCTCGGGCACACATTATGCCATACTATACCATAGCGCTCCCCCGTTGCGAAAAAATCCTTCAACTTTAAATGCACAACTAATTTGTTAACATGGGAGCGGCCAAAAACAATTTGGTAAACAAGTTTTCGGATGCTTTTACAATGTCTGCGCTTTTAATTAAAAGCGACAAAAAGTCTTTGTCGGTGGGACCACGAATATTGCATATAGTACTCATATGCTCGCATACTCGTTTGGCGTGACGTGAGCACATGAATTATGAAAATAATTTTAAAAGTTAACGAGTGCCGAACTCTTTTTCATGTCTCCCGTCGACGCGATTCAATTGCCTGGAACGAAGAGCCAAAAAAAAAAGGGAGGGAAGCTCCCAAGCTGAAATATCAAAAAGTCTGTTGACAACCCCTAGGAAATTTGCCGACACACATATTTTCCGTATTAGCTGACCAGCAATGGCTGTTGGCCTTTCTGGGTAACACGAAACTCTGACAAATCCCTGTCGCCCGATGTTGACTTTATAAATTAGTTTTTAATTACAAGCAAATAGTTTTTGCCTGCCACTCCAGCTGCTCGGTCAACAGTGCGTATGCGCTATTAAATCGATAGGAGTTGGCAATTAGGTTCGGGACTCCCTACAACAAACAGATTTATCAGCTTGTAGTGTATGCTTTATTTTATAAACAACCTTTGCAGCTTGAAGAAACTCCACAAGGTGCAGCTCCTGGTGGACGCGAACAATGTGTTCTACCATCCCAATCTGGAGAGGGAGTTGGCCCACGACAATGTGATTGGCACACGCACCTTTGCGGCCAATCAGTACGATCTCAATTTCAGCTGGGCCCAAATGGAGGCCCAGGCCACGGGAGCGGGAACGGGAACGGGGGCCTTATCCGGCGGGGGCGGGGAACAGGACTCCACGGCGGACATTAAGCAGTCCGGCGATGCGTCGGATGTGCCCGACATGGCAATGCGCAACTATCGCCATTTTACGCAGCTGTCGGGAATTGACTTTCGCAGCAGCACGCAGCTGGTCTTTGACGTACTGCAGCAGATGATCGAGGTAGGTCCTGCTCCACTGCCCCACAGCACCATTGCTCCTGAATCTGCCACTGCCATTGCCTGAGCTCCTGTCAAAATCCCGCGGCAGTCACGTCCTGTGCATTGCCAGCAATGGCACTCGCACATCGCGTGCCGCACATTCGATGGGTTTTAATTCGATTATGCAAGCCGCTCAGCGCTCGGCGGACATTACAGAGCAGTTGTGCTGTTGTGCTGTTGTGCAGTTGGCCATTTGGGCCGCGGCTTGGCAGTGATTTAATTTGCAGCTGCAGCTTGCCATAACTCTTGCCAAATTTCACTCTTTCGCCCGACAGCTCAACCACATCCTGGTGCTGCCCAATTTGGTGAAGTTCTGCGAGATTTGCGAGAGCCGCGACCACGTCAAGTGGATCAGGGAGCGCTGCCTCAAGCTGCAGGAGCAGGTGGCCATGGACGACACGATTTCCCATCAGGTAGGAAAGCTGAAACTCTCTAATTGAACACATGCAATGTGCATATAAATTTTGGTTAAAATGTTACCCAATATTAAAAGTATTAGCATGTATTTTGTGGTCATAAGTTGACTTCTTTGCTTACTTGATTATTATTTAGTATATAGATAAATATAATTTTTTGACAGTGCATTATCCCTTTCTGTTGTTTTTAATGCTATTGCTTTCCGTTCTCCGCAGCACATAATCTACTTACTGTGCCGCAGCCAAGCCCTGCTCATCCCCAGCCTGGGAGAGCTGCAGGTCCTGTGCTCCTTGATTGGCAACATCTACTTGAAGAGCACGCACTGCTTCATCCGCATCGCCACGTTGCAGGGGCTGCTCTGCCTGCTGGAGAGCTGCAGCAAGACCAACACGACAATGGGCAGGCTCAGCGAGGAGCTGGCATTGTTGCGAGCCCTAATTGTGGGCTACATCAATCGCCATGGCATCATCGACGAGAGGTGAGTGCGGGGATCGAAGGTCAGAGTGGGGGATCCGGCATACGAAATACGGAGTACGGAATACGGATTCTGGTTACCCGGAACCTGCTGTCCATAATTTACCACTCGGCGCAATTAAGAGCCGGTCCTTCGCCATTATCAGTCTGCTCTGGCCCTTGGATGGAATTGAAAGTGGAACTTGTTCCAAGGGCGAAAGCCGAAAGCCGGCAACCGAAAGCTGAATGCCATGCGAGTACGAGTACCTGGCACCATCTTGAATCGAAACTCATCAACCCGGCTTGGCGGGGCTCCTCAGACTGCCGGAGTCCTGCGGCTCCCGGCGTGTCTCTATCTGCTCCACAGATCCACTCACTAATGGCAAAAGTTCTCATTTCGCATTAGTTACCTCGGCTCATCGGCATCTGGGCTCTGTGGTCTGGTGTACTCCTCCTTTCCTTCTCCTTATTCCACCTTGCTGTTTAGGGTGTTATCAAAAACTTTTCAAGGACTGCGCCGGAAGCAGTCATCCCTCCTCCCCCATCCTTTCCTTTCCTTCTCGATAAAGGATACCGGGGAAGTTGCCATAACTCGACAACGTGCAGAACATCGACGAACCTGGCCATCGAAACTTTGGGCTGCCTTCGATAGATTTTGGAGAATCAAGCGCACGCTGTTGTTCGTGCCGCGTTGCATTTGCTTGTTTATGCTCGCCAGCAAATTCTAATTATTGGCTGAGCAGCTGCCTCCTGTTTCGCGGTTTTGATGGAATTTCATATGCTGCACCTCATTCTCAAGTTTAAGTGGGTTTCCGGCGGCCGAACTTCAGCTCTGGATGGGTTGGGCAACCTTGAAAGTAACAACTCCCATTCCGCGCTTTGAAGAGCAAACAACTTTTGTTGCGCATACGCAGCGTATGCCAAGCCGAAACCTCAGCGAAAATTGCAGATGCAGCTGCAGCAACTCTTGCCAATCTGGCTACTCTGACTACGGCTATAAAATCAATGGATGGCCCTGCTTTCGGAGGCACGACCGCGGCAACTAATCAGCGAGCTGCCCTCGCCGAGCTAATTATTTTGTAATTTTGCGCGCGAAAAGCAATTGGAGAGGGGGTTCTGTTGGGCTGCTCTGGCTATTTTGGCTGTTTTGGCCATTGGCCAGCGGCGGATGCAATTCTGCGGTCGTCAGACTTGTAATTAATTTAGATGGAATCACGCCGCGTGCAGCAGTGCCCTAGTGCAGAGTATATCGTTTTGTAATCATCTCTGGGAATTTCCTCTCCTCTTTCCTCTTTTAGCCCGCTGCCCTTCAGCGCGGAGCACACGAAGCTGGTCTGGACGCTCAATTACAGCCTGATCGAGTGGACATCGAAATTCGTGCCGCAGTGTCATCTGCTGTCGAACACAATCATTGCGGCCAACAACTTCCTGAAGACGACCGTGGACGAGGAGTTGTATCTGTGCGTTCTGCATGTGAGTATATCGAAGTTAACTGGTTGATGGGAAGGAGGAACTGGGGAGGAGGGACTTAGCATGCCACTTGAATGCCTGTCAGCCTGTCTAGCCACTTGCCAGCTGTCGGGCGACTCGCGGCCAAATCTGACTGCCATCGACCGGGGCAAACGCTCCCCTGCCTGCTGCGGCTTAGCCGGGGAGCCAACGTTGCGCTTAATTGGTTTTTTGATTGACAATTTTCAAAACGGCAGACTGCCGACTGCCGGCTGCAGTTCGAGCGGACCGAGCTGTCCAAACAGAGCGAAGGGTTTCCGCGGGCGGACCGCAACGGCCGCTGTCATAACTGACGGGCTGAACAGGCAGCCCAGCGAATGTTTATTGGCCCGGTCGAGAGGCGCTCACATGGCCATGGCCAGGGAATCGGGCCGGGGGATCGCTCCCAAATTGAGCGTAATGAAAAAGAGTCGGGCATTTTGTTTAAACACTGCGTGTCCGCCATAAAAAGAATTCCTCCGTGGGCGAGCGTCATTTTGCCGCCATTTAATATAGAGCTGAGATTTTAATTGCAGTTTACAAGTATGCCGAGCGGCAAGTAATTAAAAACTGTTTTTGCCCGTCGCACTTCCGGGCGTCCGTTCCGTTGCGTTCCGTTCGGACGAAAATTAAATTCGACTTTTTAAGCAATTTATGAAATTTGCACGCAATTCAATTGCGCCATTTTGTTGCTTTCGCTGCGGCCGCTGCTATGATGTCCTTGTTATTGTTGCTGCTGCTGGTGCTTCTGCTGCCTTTTGCTTTGATGGCGGCATCATCGGAATCGGACTCTGAATCAGCAGCGGCCAAGAGAAAGTGGCAGGGGAAAGCGCAATGGCGCGCAGCGACAACAGCGCCCATAACAATAACAATTTGCCACTCAATTAGCGTGGCCATTACTGAAAAAACCCACTTAAGTATGCAATGATAAAAATTCAAAAGCGAATCGAGAGCCGCGTTGCTATTTCTATGAGTTCCTCCCACTTCCGTCGCACCTCCCCCTCCCTGTTTTATACGTTGCTTATTGTATTTATTTATCCCTCTTTTTGCGCCGTTTCCCAGGGCCTGGAGCGCCTGGTGGTCAGCAGCGGAGTGCCGTCTCCCGGCGTCCAGCCTACTGGAAAGGACTCCTCTTCGGCTGGAGACCCTCTGGCAGGAGCAGACAGTGGAATCGGAGTTGGAAGCGGAGGCACAGGCGGAGGCGGAGTCGTGGTCACACCGCAGATGCGACATAAAATTGAAAAACTTGCACTCGAGCTGCTGAAAATGGAAAATGAGAAATTTTCGATTCCGGCATTGAAATTGCTTTTGTCCTGCATGTATGTGGGTGAGTACTCGGGCCGTAGAAATAACAAAAATAATGCCAAGATCGAAAAGGGGAGCGAGAATAACCGAAATCGAGTGTCGCAGAGGGGGAACAGAAATATTTTGTAATTTCATTTAATGCCGCTTGGGCCGCGAACGGGTTGCTGTTGTTATAAGAAAATTGCAGGAGGGAAAAGGGAAAAGCGGAAAGGGGGAGACATCCAAGTGCGTTGGGGATGGAAATGCCTGCGGAAATAAACGGTTTGAAAACCAAAAAGGAAGCATCACTTTAAAGCGCGACAAGGCGGCTTTAGTCGGCCAACTGAACTTTATTCCCTTTACACTCTCGATATCCTTTATTTGGCTGCTGTTTCGCCAGTTCTCTTTCGATTTTAAATGCGCCAGTTGCGATGGCTAGGAGGCACTTTGTGTGTTTGCGGGTCAACAGTTTGGCGCTGATCATTATGGCCATGAGTGTGTGCGATTGCGTGTGTGTGCCCTTGCCGGGGAAAGGCTAATTGCTGTCGCGGCCAAAACACCACCGACTGTTGCTGCTGATTCCGATGGGCGACGCGTATCTCTGCCGTCGCCGGCCAACAATTATCCCTGCTGCTGTTATTAGCGCAATTCCAGGACAATTATTATCGTTTCAACTGTCGCGCACATGCACTCGCCCTGTCAGCCGAAATGTTAGTTTACTGGCCCAGTTTACGGGGCCCAGTTTCAGTTTGGGCCTCCGATGCGGGCAAATAGGTCTCTGCCCTAATCCGAACCATAAACTAGATTTATCTGCAAGTTATGTTTCGGGGGGAGAAGAACGGACAGAACAACTCAAACTAGAGCATCTGTGAGTGTAAACCTTCCTAAGATTCTTTACCAATTCACTTCCCAGTTTAAAGAAGAATTTCCAGTGGCTGAGAGAAAACCAGGCAGCTGGCTTACTCAACACCCGTTTTCATTCTTGTTTAGTTCATTAGCCGGAACTCTTGTTTAAAGGCTCGTGCATAGGTGTCTATGGAAATCGACTCGATGGGTCAATCGTAATCCGCTCAGTCTCGTTTCATTTAACATCCTAAGCCAATCGGTTCCCTGGCTCCACAGACATCCCTGCTCATTCCCTAACGAGAAAAAACAACAGCCGTCAACCATTTTAAGGCCGACTGGAAAAAAGGAACGTAGGAAATGTGCCTTGGTTCTCCCTTTTCCCTTCTCCCAGCATCGGGATGTGCTGCCTGCCTGCTGCTAACTGATGCCCATTCAATCTGCTGTGCAGGGAATCTTGGCAAAGCTTTCGAATGGGCCACTCCTGGCCAGAAATTATGCAAGTCGCTCCACAAATATGTCGAAGAATGCCCGCGGCTGAATGTGCGAGTGTGTGTGCGTGTGTGTGTGTGTGTGTATTCGGTAGTGTGTGTGTGTAGGTGAAATTGGAAGTGGAGCGTTGCGTATTTGCCTTGCACTTTGTCAGTTCGCAGGATTGCCGACTGCGAGTCCTTTTGCCATGGCCACAGCACGCAAATCCTTTGAGAAACGTCAATGTTTGCGTAGCAGGCCATTCGCGATGCTTACTTGTGCCACTAAATGGCGGCGACTGCCTCGATTTCGGCTCCTGCCAGCACACGCACACGCACACAAATCTCGAATATGCCAGCCCTCGAATCGGGATCCTTTCGGGGGACAGGACCCTGCCAGCGAACCAACGGACGCATCCTAGCGGAAGCTGGCCATTTCTGGGCACGCTTTTTTTGCTCTTTTTCCGCCTGCTTGCTTTTTTAAAGCGCTGTATAAACAAAGGACCGCGTCGCCGAAGACAATACAGGTTGGCCTGCTGGTAAAAAATATCGGAGAGAGCGAAAGCTTAAAAAAGGAGCGCGCCGGCAAAACAGGGAAAGTCGGAAAAAACGTGTATATATTTGCCCTCAAAGTTGCAAAACGCAATAATAAATATTTGCGGCAATATTGGTCACCCCGTTGGTGGGAAACGCTCGAAAGGCAAACCCTCGTATGTCGAGCACCCTTTAAAAGGGGAGGATTGGCATTTGATTTAGTTTATAAAAATATTTTAAATGGAACAGCCCTTGCTTATTGGAACGGGAAGAGTTAGAAGGTATTTATACTTCCCCTGTTTATAAGATAACTTGTTCAATATTCTAAAGGGTATACATTATTCGAATTAATAACCAACTGTATTGCAGAATGGTCTATGTTTGACCCTGCTTGTGCTGTTGTGCTTATAGTAAATACGTTTTTTTCGCAACACGCTCTTGCTTAAACGAATTTTAGAGTTTGCTGGGTTTTTTTCTCATTTTTTTCCTGCATTGCCTGCGGCATTCGTGGCGCGCATAATTGTGGCCAGGCGCCGAGACTCCCCTTTCCCCTGCCACTCCCCTTTCCAATCCCCATTCCCATAGAATTCAACCCGCCTCCACGGTCACTTGGCCATACTTCATCCCCGTTCAAAGCGGGAAACAACAATGCCAAAATTGGCAACAGCCAGCCAAACAAGCTGCCCGCAGGCCACCGGCCACGGCCAACAATGCTAAGCTGCAAAACAAAGGCCAAAGCCAAAGTTGGCGCGGCCAAAAGGCGGCTGAGGTGGCCAGTTGGCCCGTTGGCCCATTGGCAGGTTAGCCAGGTGGTGGAGGAGATGGAGGTGGCCCATTCGCATTGTAAATAATTCGATGCCGCTAAACCACACTAAGCAGCACACAGGCTGTGGCTTTCAGCGGTCTCCGGCAGCCATCATTTTTCACCTGGCCAGAAGGAACGCACATTTATTTGGTGACCTTCCCGGCGGCGGGCTCAATCGAACAGCTCTAATCTATGGTTGCTCTTGCTTTTTGCCGGCTTCTGGTTCCGTTTTTTGTTTAGTTTTCAATTTGATGGCGGGTGCCCGGTCATCGGAGAAAGTTTGCCAGAACCAGAAGCAGATTCAGAGAGCGTTGCTGTTGCCCCGAAAAATCCATAAAATTTAAATGCAAATTTATGTACGTGTGTGTCCTGGGGATTCCGGTGTCCCGGGGAATGGGAATTGGAGCAGGATGGTTGGATGGTTGGCTGGTCGGGGATGGGGCAGTGACAGCGGTGGCGTGTGAAGGACCCCGAGCATGTGAATAATGGCCATCGGCATGTGGCTCGAAGGCTGCTTTGTTAATTAGAAAGTTTCACTTTCTTCCTTTCTCCTGCAACTCGTGGGTGACTTACCGTTTTCTGAATTCCACTTTCCACTTTCTCCCTCCCCGCAGGATCTGCTGCCCAGCTGGAGAACACGGAGCTGTCGAACGGCATTGTGCAGGACGACCCGGAGATAATCGCCCAGCAAAACGATAAGGTCGATATACTTTTGCATTGTATTAAATCATCGACTCGAGATGCCGCCTGGATTTATGGACAAGTGCTGTGCCAAATTATTCGTGATTTAGTGCCACCGAATGAAATATTGACGAAGGTCATAAAGGAGTTTCTGGCCATAAATCAACCGCACGGCGATGTTATTGCCATGATTGTATATCAGGTGAGTGCTGGCTGGTCAGAAGATCTAGCGAAGGTAAGACGCTGGCCATTCGTGCGTGGCTCCTGATTCACACACACACATGCACACAGACAAGGATTCTTGGGTAGGCTTCACTTTACGGAATGGGGCCAGTGCAGCGCCCATGTTGCTCCTGCCACAAGTCGAAAGGGTAAAGCACTCGCCGCCAGCTGCCACATGTGTGTGTGCGAGTGTGCGTGTGTGCGTGTGCGCCTCTGGAATTTTTGGCAGCTTGAAAATTAATGGAATTCATGGCTGCGGCTTGGCCCCTGTCCAGAAGGTCCTTGTCCAGCAGCAGGTCCTTTGCCAGGAGGTGCGAGTGCCACCACAGCGAGTATGTGGGTCAATGCGAAGGGCCTACGGCGGCGACCACTGTGGTGCCATAAAATTTTTTCATTAGGTTCAAGGTTGCCCGGTGGGTGCGTGCATGGAAATTAATAAGAACGAGCTCGGATCCCCGGGATCCTACGGTCGCCATCGAGCAGAGTTTGCACTGTCATTGGCAGGACGATTCCGGAGGATTCCCTGGCTGCGGAATTTCATTAGCCAACTTTCTGCCACAAAGTATGCTGTGCAGGCACCTCGAGCACCTCGTCTCGAGCGGCACAATAAAATTTAATTTCCGTATTGTCGACTTGGCTTTGCTTAAGCATTTCGTTGGCACTCCTTAACCCTTAACCCCTTACCCTTAACCCCTCTTTATCCTTTCTCCTTCTCTCTCTGCAGGTATTCCGTTCTGCCATCGACTCTTCCTACCTGCAGATGCTCCAGGACTGGCTGATCTGCACCCTGCCGACGTTCCTGGACCAGCCGGAGCAGCAGGGCGTCTGGGGCCTCAGCGTCATCTTCTTATCCGCCTCCATAAATCTGCATTTGATTAAACTATTTCCGCTGGTGCTCGGCATCGGGGCAGCCAACTCGACGAACGCAACGGCGACTGCAAGGGCAACTGCAACATCTGAACCAGCGGCACCGGCGACGGGCAGAAAATTGGGTCAACACGAAATTGCATTGTTCGTGACAGCTGCGCAAGATTTCCATGCGAAATTGAGTGGCGAGCAGCGGCAGCGCTTCCGCGAGGCCTTCAGCAGCTTCGAGCGGAGTCAGGTCTACGGCCGGATGTTGCAGAGCCTCTGAGCGGCGAGCGGTGTGCCACGCCATGGTGCACATTATCGCGGGTGAGCCCACGGGGTCCGGTTATTTATCTTTCGGCTAATTCGAATCGCAGCTAGGAAGGAATGCCAGCGCAATCCGCATTGGGCAGCGGCCAACTTGCTCCAAAGACAAGCGCAAGCGTGAATAACTAATTGCCCCGAGCTGCGGATAAAGTTTAAGCGGATGTCCCTCTTTGCCTCCTATGGCAATCCACTTTTGCAGCACTTCCCCAGAGCGAGGGGAAAGTTTTTTAATAGTTGGCGAATACAAAATTAATTTATGCTTTACATTATGTGTAACTAATATTTAAATTATTGCAAACGAACGCTCCCCGCCCGCACTTCCTAATCCGGCCGAAAGTTTAACGAGGCCACCAGCGAGCGACCCGCAATTAATTCCTGCGGCTTTCGACAAGGACCCACGACACGGAAATTATGTTCTTGTCAGTTTTCGGCCAAAGTTTATCATTTATTTATTTGACGCTGCTCGCCGCTTGCTGCGGCTAAAAGAAGATGAAAACGAAGAAGATCCTGGCCAAAGGACGCTAGTGGGCATTAGTATGCGCCTTAACCAATTGCTGGCTAACTCCTAATCAAAATTACTTAAAAATTCCATTATGCAAACAGCACACCCCTTCCTTCGTGTACTCCAATTGTAATCAAAATTATAACCCTAGTGCTTAGCGAAATAAATCACAAATTAAATCGAACTCGGAACTGTGTCATCGTTTGGGCAAATGGAAAAGGGATTCTCGGTTTTAAAATGCATAAGGGCTGAGCCAAGTACTTTGCCAACTAACCGAGAAATTCGTTTTTTGGATCACCGAGCTATATGCAAATCGGTTCGAACTTTTGCGCTTTACCTGCTGCTAAAATGGCACATGTAACGTGGCTCTGGCTTCCGAGCGTTTCCTTCGTTTTACCGTCTTAACAACAAAGCGCATTAAAGTTGACAAAATGTTTCTTCCTCAAACTATCGCAGAAGTGCTGGACTGGAAAAAAGTTTAACTAACCGGCTTTCCCCTGAATATCAGATGCGCTCCAGAGATGGGCATTATTAATACTCTCGATGGTTATTTAAGCCAGTTCGAATAATGGGGATTTAGAGTTGGGCAGTTTGAGTTATGGAAATGGGATTATACGATGTCTATAACAAAGTACTAGTAGGTAATCTTTACAGAAAGAAGCTTTTTCTTTATAACAGAACTAATTAAATTTTGATGCTGATAGTAATATATTTTTAAGGGTTAATTTTGTTTCTATTTAACTTTATCATGCTGCCTGTTGCCAAGTAACTTGCAGGGTAAGAAATCCGCTCAGTGCGTTGCCGTTTTCCGCCTGCGTGTGTTTGTGCACCGAAATTGACAGATAAACTTTCCTTTCGAGTGGGTGTGCGAGTGTGTTGGGGAGTGGGGGTGTGCGTGGGACAAAGACGGAAGATGGCTTTGTGTGCATGCAAAGCTTGCCGGAAATTTGCCAGTTCAACGCGAAACGACAAAAAGCCGGTGGAAAAAAAAAGAAAGAAGAAATGGAAGTGAAGGGATGGGAAGTTGCAGCACACGCCGAAATGAACTGCAAAGCTGTTCAAAGTTGTTTTTCTGTTTTGGCGCCACCGCATTATGCAATCGCGGTGGGCGTGGACCGTACCCTCTCCCACCCTCCCTCTGTTATTGCTCTCTCGCTCTGGCGCTCCGGTGCTCCGGTGCTCCCGTGCTCCGGTTCAGAGTCAAGACAATGTGCCCATTGTCGCCATTATGCCGCACGCCAAGAGGCAATTTGGCCAATGCCTCGGCCATAAACTGCAACATTTGGGCTATCAGCATTTGGTTACGCTTCATTTGGCCAAGGAGCCCGGCTCCCAGTTCCGCTGGCTCCCCTCTCCCCCCTTCGGGACTAGCAGCGTGTGACTGACCGGAGCAGGTGGGCCGTTGCGTATTCGCCACGTTGGCCACGCCGTGACCTTCGCTCGCGAGTCGAGCGACTCGAATGCCCAAAAGCAGGCTACGTTCCGTTCGCTGTCCCAATTCCACGCGTTTCCTTCGCTCTCTTCACTGTTAACTCGAAACTCACCACGTTTTCGGAGTAATTCTCTTCGACCGCGCTCTCTTAAGCGAACAAAGTCGCTCTTCTCTTGGCCGCGTAAAAAACAAATATTTGAACTTAACCGGCTCTTGAAATGGGTTGCAATCTGGTTTCTGATCTCAGCTTATTTCTTATCAGAAGTACAACTTAATAACCCTGGCCGTAATTATTCTTATATGTTAAGTAAAGCAGACTTTTAATAAATAAATCAGAGTATTTCAAGTTTTTAGACTAAGCACGAAACGCTTGATGTGTAGACTAGGTCAGTAGTGTAACAGTCCCGATTCCACTCCGTTCCCCACACGCCCACGTAACGGTAACTGCTTGGTATGCAGCCAACACGACAGGATATGCCGCAATTTCTTAATACTTCGGCGGCTTTAAGCAGAAAGGGACAAAAGAAGGGGGGAGGGGTGCGACAACTGTTACACTCACAGTTATGATTATTGTTATTATGATAATGTCAGCAGCATAAGCAGTCCTTGTTGTTGTTTTACCCGGCTTTGGCGTTATTGTTTGGCTATTTGCTCGGTGGAGAAATGACTTATCCTATGGGCTAGCCAAGCATATATGTAGTAAAAAACACTTTAAAAAATTATTATATATCAAAGTAATTCGTCATGAAGTGGATATTCCAAATTTTAATGTTATTGACTTGATATTGAAACATTCTTCCTCGCGAAAATAAGTTTTTTTGTATTAGAATGGCTTTCGCATTCGTTTTTTTTCCGCGTGTAAATAAAGTCGAAACAAAACTTTGGCCAGCGAAGCGTGCTCGTTTATGGCGCCAATAGTTGCCCAGCTTTATTTCGCCGACTTCCTGCAGCTCGCCTCCAGGCTCCGAATCGATCCATTGATTTTCCCGCCTCATTTGCAAGGACACTTTGAGCCAGACCGAGCACCTGGGCCCGCACTCCTTGTAGCTCATTTGAAATTTTGATTACATTGGCAACGCGCCGAAGAGGAACCTGTCAGCGACTGATACGCATTAATTACGTTACCTGGTGTAAAAAGCAACGCCTCGACTCTAGACGGGCCGCTTATTAAAATTGAATAAATTATGCAAAAGTGCGCGTGGCCTGGCAGCGCGGAAAGCCCAGTCGATGCTCCTGCGCCAATACATATACTCGCCAGGATCCCCAAGATGGACACCGCATAATTAATTCCGGTCATTCGCCAGCGCAGAGCGAAATGCAATCACCATCCTGAGTCGCTGACTTCGCAGCCATCGCAGAACCTTGTGTTGTAGACTTTCACAGAGCAAAGTCCTAAAGAAACGCTTGCCTACGAAAGTTATATCTCCTTGGTGTTTTAATAGGGCCTCGAAATTATACCGAAAATTGGCAAAAAACACATTTTTCTTGTAAGTTTTTGTTTGTTACTTGGCCCAAGGTTGACCCACAGCTGAAAGGCGCACCGTTTTGGACAACTGGCAACCCCCTCTAACGATACATATCACTTTTGGAGCATTTAAAAATAATTAAATATCGACCGATTTTCGCATTTTTTGTACCATCGCATTTTTTGCGAAAATTGGTGAAAAAAAATATTTTTTGGCAAGTACACTAATCGATCGGGAATTTTATTGCGAGTTCAACGAGGTATAGCATTCCACATTCTGACCATAGTTTTTCTTTTTTCAGACAATAAAACCGATTAAATAACTGAAATTTTGACACCAAAAAGATTAAATTTTTCCCATTCTTTGATGGTTTTAAACAGTGTGATATCACAGTTTGTGGTAGCACTAGCTAAGCGTCTAAGTTCCTTGTCAATCAAAGGCCAATATATCAAGTGGTGTGACAGCAGAACCCTTTCGCCGTGGAAGGACTTTTTCGGGAGGGGACCTTAGAATAAATGAATGGCTGAGTGGCTGTGAAAACGCGAAAGCGAGTGATTGCACAAGTGCAGCAGGCAGCCGACGCCGAAATCGATGCCATCGCGAATATTCGACAAGAATTTCAATTTCATGTTTCACGCGTCACTAAATGCCCATTTAAAAGCCGGCAGGCGAATTAGCATACATATACCTATGCGGTTCGAATAGTTTGGGCAATTGCCTCGGGAGCCGCAGGCTGACAACCAAATATTTTGTCAACTCCATTCAGTTAAAGTCAAATAGGTAATGGTGTGTTCGTTAATTCTTTAATGGTTTACACAAATAACAAACTGCGGTAACCTAGTTAACAATGTGGTTTTCAGCAAGGGAAGTTGTAATAGATTGTAATCCGATAAGCATTAAATATAAATATTCAATAACTGCGTTATAAAGAGAACAATTTCGCTTAGTCGAGGAGAGTTAAGAATTCCTTATACACAGAATCGCACTATCTTGATACTGTTTAAGATCAGCCAACAAAAAGGTAGGTTCGTTTATTGAGACAAGCGTTATCTGGATTACATGCTCTTTTTTGGACGAATATATAATAATATTTTTTTAGTTAACTATAGTGCTTATTTAATGATAGGCTATTAATCTACGTGTGCTACGCTCTATTTACAAATACTTATGGCTAAAACTAGCCATTCGAAGAGCATCACTGTGCTGAAGTGATCGCCTGCAGTCCTGGTTCCATTGGTCCTCTGGTTCCCTGAAAGGACATCCGTAGCTCTCCACGTTCGCCCACGGAGATTCACTCGTAACGATGCCAATTCCTGGGGTCTGCCCCCTTAGCCGGCTATCGGTTAATCGTATGGCTGTGCCCGCTTAGGAAATTGCCCTTAGAGTCCTGTGGTGGAGGTCCTGGCGCAGGACGTCTTGCGCGGCGGCGGCAAATCAGATGTGTAGTTCTGATATCGGGAGGAGCAGTTAATGGCCTGCGGGAGCAGAAGGAGAAGGACTGTGAATACCGAACACAGAATACAGAACACAGAGGAAGTGATGGAAAATTGGCAGAATATAGCGCTAAAAGTACATAAAGAACTGATGGCCCACTGAATTCACAGCTCGGCCGCAATATTTGATTAATGATGTGTTTTGATGCAGAGTCACTTCTGCGGCGTTCGAACGGGCAAATGGGAAATGGCCCGAAAGCTATTCCCTTGTCAAGGCCTCTGGCTGCGATTGTTGCCGTCGCTTTGCATTTGAATGATTAGATTTGATTCAATATTCAATTATTAAAGTGGTTTGAGGTGTTGAAATGCCGCCAGACAAGCATCGACGGGCCCAGTTGCCCAGCAACCAGCCGGTTGAACTGGGAACTGAAAGCCAAAAGCTGGGATCTGGGAGCTGGGAGCTGGGACCACTGAATCCAGGCCGATTGAGGAGTGAGAGCTTGCATATAAATGATTTATGAATTTGCGCTTTGATTGAACTGCCTGAAATTGTTGATTAGTGCCTCGTCACAGAGGCAACCAACAACAACAACAACAACCGGGCGACTGGGGAAATGAATTACGGCCTTTCAACCGACGGCATTTAGGATTTCGGCTCCGGGTTCCTAGGTGCGCTCTGCACTCCCATTGTCTCATTATTCGATTATGGCAAATAGGCGGCAGCGGGAAGCTGTTAAAGGTGGTATTTAATCGTTCAAATCTGCAGTACAAACAATAAACTGGGGATGCAAAAAGTGCGATACAGATTGGTGCAGCAATTAGAAAAACAATCAAGAAAAACATGCATGCGGCGGCATTAAGCTTGCCTTCAATCCAAGCAAAAAATATTCAAAGAGAGCTTTAAATTATGTAAATAAGAAGCAAACAAAATAACAAGCAATATTTACTCCGCCTTACTGTTATATTTAAATGGTAGTTTTCTCAGAACTCACATCCTGGTGCGTCACTGTCATCATGCCCAGCCTCTTGGAGTAAAAACTCTTTGGGTAAAAGCGTGAAAGGGAAGAGAACGGGGAGAAATGGAGCGATTCGACACATGAATAAATGCCCGGCTAATAGGAGGGCCAGTCACACGGCCAATTAATCAGATTGACATATTCCCGATCACGTGGTATCCGGAAAATACCGAAGGCATTCCAAACACGCTCCTGCTTCACAGGGATACACAGGAATAGCGAAAAACCATACAAACAACGGCTCGGCAATTTAATTAACGTAATTAATCTAATTTAATGACTTGACAAACACATCAATTAGCGAAAGGCAGGCCAAGACAGGGCGGACCAGGAACACAATTTATATGCAAAGTGCCCGAAAGCCTGGCGCAAAACAGGACTCGCCAGGACTCGCCAGGACTCACGCACCGCAGCGGCAAAACAAATTAAAATATTAAAATTAAGCCACAAAATGATTGAAAGGAAATGTTGTTACGGCGAAAGCAAAACTCGCCGAACTCGATCGATGAGTGCTGTGTCTCCGGCTTTTCCCGCCCGCTGTTTCTCGAGCTGTTTGCGTCTGTTTGTCCCTAAAGTAATTAAAAATAAGTAAACCAAAATCACCCCCGAGATGTGGGCGGTGGGCTGAGGGCGAAGGACGAATGGTGGGGGGCGTGGCTGTCCAGTGATTTGCGTCCCGCAACGCTTTTTGTGTTTATGCAAATGGCCGCTGACCAAAAGAATTAATGCGTCCCGAAAGTGAGTTGAATTGGAATGAGCCGCCGGAGCCGGATCCGGAGCCCGAAAAGCAACCGAAAACCGCGGGCAGCCTGTCAGTTTTACCGTCTGTTTCACTTTGCGGGCGGGACATCAGCATCAGCATCAGCGGATGCCAACGACCGTCAATGAATTCACACGGAATGCTATAAAAAGCGCGAGCGGAGAATGTAAAGCCTGTAATTTCCTACTCCCCCAGTGCCCCAGTGCGTTGCTAATTTGGTCATGTCTTTAAACGGCCAACCCGAGGAATTATTTGAAATTAAAGGCCGCATCATCGTGCAATTCCACGGAAAATTGCTGAATGCATTGTGTGAATTCCTCCGCACTTCGATGCACTCCATCGACCGGACAAGACAAAAGATTTTTACACATCCCCATTAGGGGAAATATGCTCTCATAACAAGGCCAGTGCTCTGTGCTTAATGCCCAGCAGCTGCTTTCCATCCAATTGTTGCCCTCTTGCCGGCTTTATAAATAGAGAAATTAAGATGGACGGCCGATGAAGATGATGATCCGGTTTGATGGGCCTGCTCAACTGCCCGGCTGCTGGGCCGAAATTATTCTGTAAACTCTGCCTATTTATATCGTAAATATAAAATTTGATGCTGATGCTGGCGCTGCGAGCTGAGCCAAATTCGGCCCACGCGGCGTATGCGCGTTTTTCGCACTTAACTCATTAAAACGGTCGCCGTTTGCCCGTCGAAACTTAATGGGAAAACACGCGCTGTTTTTTGGGAACTCTCTCCGATGGATTCTTTTTCGGGTTTCTTCCGTCCATTATTATCGTAAATTATTTAATTGCACTTCAGACTTCTGATTTGAAATGAAAACATTCCCGTTTAAAAACTCATTAGGATTGGAAATGAAAATGCAGCCGAGCGGATACGTATAAAACTTTATATATCGGAAAATGGGAACGAATATCACATGTGTGGCAAAGAATTGTTGTTTGTTAGTCAATAAATCAACACGGTGACCCAATTTAAAATTATAAAAATGTGAACGGAAAGTCAAATGAAATGGAAGCGAAAACAAAGCCATGGGAAAATATCAACCAACGCTGCCGGCAGTCGAATCATCGATATATTGACCGAGCTCTCAGGTGACGGCCATTGGAGGACCCTCAGCTCATCCTTTCGAGGACACCCACACTCACCTTGTAGAAGGCCTTCCGGAAATTCTCGGAGAGAAAGGCGTAGAGCAGCGGATTGATGCACGAACTGCTGTAGGCCAACGTCTGAGCGCTGACCTGGATGATGAGTTTGTTCAGGCTGTTCATCTCGATGACATCCAGCGCTTTCAGCAAGAGGATGAGCTGTTCAATAGAACAAATCGATTGGGGGTTATTAAAGAAAGAAACACAGTACCCAATGGTACAACTATGGAAAGAAAACTGATTGTTAAATGAATAGCAATTTCAATTAAATTGTGAATCAATGTTACTGCTCATAATAATTGAGATATTTTTCAGGAACTCCAAGGTTTTCGATACCCACCTGAACTGGCAGCCATAGGGATGCGAAAGCGATGACCACTACGACGACCAGCCGGGTGACCCGCTTGCGACCCCGCTGCGACTCCTTGGACATCCGGACACCCGTTCCCTGACGCCAGAGCCGCATGATCATGCGCATGTAGAGCCCACTGATGACCATCAGGGGCATCAGGTAGGAGCTGACGAAGAAGGTCACGTGGTAGGTGCGCGAGCTTAGGAACTCGTTCGGGGAGTACGTGCACAGGCCGTAGGTGATGTTCTTCTTCTCGTCGATGGCCTCCTGGGGGATAAAAGGAGGAAAGGAGATAGCGGGGCTTTTCAGTGTGGGAATCTAATATCGCGCATACGTCATGTTGCCCATGACAGTTGCATGGCAGCGAAGAACCATCAGACGGCCCACAGCCAGACATCGTAAATAAAACTAAACTGTCATTCGAATAGTTCGGCCGTCGACAACTAACTCGCAATCGCAATCTCGCTTTGTTCCTCTGTCGCTGACATTTGGCTGACAAATTGTTCTGCCCGAGTTTGGTTACCCAAAGGAGGGGAGGGATGGGCATTTGGCTTGGGGTTCGGTCTATTGGCCGGCCTAGTGTGCTGACGCTTAGGAGGGTAATAAACTGGCTGGCTGGCATATCGTAAAAATATTTGCAGCCTTTGTTTACATTTTTGTTTACAATCGCCGGCTCCTCGGCCCGCGCTTTTCACCGATGGATGCGTGTGGAAAATCGCATTTAAAAAATCTTCCCGTTAATACCCGTAAATGCTTACAAATATGTTTGTTTATTACCCGCCATTGTTTTTGTGTTGTTGTTGTGGTTACACTGAGCGAGAGATGTTGGCCCCCAAATAGAGTTCGAATCTGGGCAGCGTCAAGTGGCCAAGGCCAGTGAAGTGGACCCTCCGCTGATTTATGGGTTAATTTGGTTCGGTTTCTCCCCGCCAGCCCATCGACCCATTAGACTTGACAAGCCATTAATGTTCGAGAAAGGCGGCCAACAGCTGTCAATCAATGCCATGACCTGGAGATCGCGTATCTAGTTACGCAGTCGGACATATGTGCCTTTATGATTATTGGTTATCGATTTCTAATAAAAAGATAATGGCACACGCTCGCAGCGCTTCAATCGCATTTCTTTCTCTGTGTGTGCGTGTGTATTTGTGTGTGTGTGTGGCTGGCATGTCGGCTCGCCGGTCAATGTAATATGGAAATAATTAATGGCAAACTGTTAATTAACATGTTGATCAAACATGACTTAATTATGCCTTTTTATCGCCTGATTCTTTGTATTTGCACACGCACGGCCAGATAACAAGCGAGCACACACACAAAACATTCAATTTGGCCTGTATTTTTCCAGCTTAATCCTTAGACAAAGCAAAGCAAACACATAAACAAACAATAATGCGACCCATCGGAGCTCCCATCCCTTCTCCTCTTTACCCAACCCAACCCCTTTTTCCATGGTAAACAAGCGGGAGGAAAATAACGAAGCGTGAAATGCCATTTAATAAAATATTAGGTTACAATAACAACGGCAATAGCGCAACAGTGGGCCATCTCGCAGATAAAATAGCTCATCGTCCCGGTGACGATGGGATCCGTTTAATTAACCGCGATTCTTTCGCTTTCGGCAAAGGAAAAGTAAAGAGAAGAGCGACCACATAACCAACCGAATAAAAAGTTGGTCGTGTGTGATGTGGGACTCGCTTTATTGGCAGTGGGAAAACAATGCGACAGTGGAACAGTGGGACAGTGCGACAGTGGGACAAACAAGCCATTTGGTGACGTAAACGGGAAAATAACCCTGTGCCAGTGATTAGTTGTAATTGATGCTCGTAATGGTGAAATCGGGCATTTAGTGCAACACTAAATGAGTAATAAATGTATCGTAGCTGTGGTTCATTTGGTATTAAAATGAAAAAGGATTTAAAAACACTTTCCCACTGTGCAATTAAAGGGAAATTTGTTAGGAAGACAAGACCCCCCAGTAGGTGAACTTTGCCTCTCTAAATTTCTGATATCACCCGCTGATCCCAAGAAAACAATCGAAATCTCCACCGATTGTTCCGCAATTAAACCATCGATCATAAATGCCAAAGGCCAAGGAGCACTCCAAGGTCGCCACCGCGAACACATTTATCATACGCAGTGTGCGCCCGAAGTTCGCAAGTGCAAAGTTTCCATAATGACCACTTGTTACGACTTACGACTGGCCGTGATTTACGTGCCTTCGGACCAACAATTGAAACTGAGATGCTGCAAGCCCCAGTTGAAGGGAAGTGGGCGGCGAACGCCAGTTGGCAAGTGTTTCTCGCTGCCTATCTGGTCTATAATTAAGAATTTATGAATTCAAATAGCAAAATAGCAAATTAGTAACAAAAACAAATCGGGCGCCGCGCATCTAGCCAAAATTTTCAATATAAACACACAGTTTCTGCTCTGTGAGATAAAAAGGGGAAACTTTAATAGTGAGGCAAATGATTTGTATCAGGATCAGTGGATCGTTCGGCGGGGAGGTATTCCCCACCTTCTGGATTACGATCCACCTACCCATCTATATTTCTATCTTTGTATCTGAAGATCAGCCAGCATTGACGTGCAGCGAGAGGAATCTAACGAGGTGACGATGATGGAAAGCAATAAATTTGCCTGGCCCGTGTTCTTCGCAGCAGATTAAGGCACAGCATGCCTCCTCCTACAACCACATGCACATCCACATCCACAACTACTATAGACTTACCACCACGTCGTGGTTGAGTGCTACTGGCACGGAGACCACCAGCACCACGATCCACAGAGTCACGATGGCGATCAGAGTTATGTTCTCGGTGCGCATCATCCGCGATCGGATGGGATGCACCACGGCCAGAAACCGATCGATGGACATGAGGACCAGGGTGTAGATTGAGGCGAAGGCTGTGACCACGATGAGGTACTGGACACTGTGGCACCAGAAGCGCCCGTAGGGCCAGTAGGGCACCATGTAGTCGGTGGCCGTGAAGGGGATGCAGAGGATGACGAACAGCAGGTCGGCGACGGCCAGGTTCACGATCATCAGGTTGGTGGTGGAGCGCATGCTCTTGTTGAAGACCACCACCAGGATGACCAGCAGGTTGCCGAAGAAGCCTGTGATGGCGATGGCCCCGAAGAAGAAGCCCACCACCCATGGCAGCGTACTGTTGATGGCCAGCCACTCCTCGTCGGTGAAGAAGGTGGTGAGGTTCTCGTCGTTCCTGGTAGCATTGGAAGCCAAGCTGCCCAGCATCTTGGCCGGGAAGAAGGTGGCGTTCTCCATTATATATAATCTTATATTTGATTTATAACTTTGTGCTGCCGGCTAGTTTCACTCGATTGCAATGGCACATTTTCAATTTCGCATCGCTTTTTCACAGTTCATCGAACTCGGGTAACAAATTTCCAATTAGGACAAAGCAGCCGCCACAAAAATTCAATTATCATGCGCAAAACCGAACGAGCGGCGAGCCCTCAAAAAAAACCGTAACGCATACGCCGTGCGGACTCGGACCGGAATTTTTCAATCGTTCAATCGAGGCGGTGGTGGTGCTGGTTGTGGTGGCTGGTGGCAAAAGCAATTTGGCCATCGCCCGATAACGGTAATTGTTGCCAGGTAAGACAACAATAAAGGACGCACTCGGGCCTCAAAGGCGAGGAAACGAGGAGTTGAGGAATCGAGGAATTGAGGAACCAAGGAGGCACGTACGAGTCGACGCCGTGTCACACCCCGATGATAAGGACACGGGGAAATCCTCGAGGACTCGGCGCTGCACCTACGCCATAAATTCTGTATGATGTCTTTCTTTCTTTCGGTCCGCCCCGTTCGCCTCGCTTCTGTTTACGTTTCTCCGCTTTTTATTGACAAACGAATGGCATAAATTTTGCGGCTCTACCCAAAACAGACGTTCTATGCTTTCGGCTTTCGCTTTTCGGTTTTCAGTTTTCGCTTCTCGATTTTCGGTTTTCGGTTTGCTGTTTTTCGCCCGGCGTTCTCCGGCTTTTTGGCCAATTTCAAAATCCACACTGCACGCGTTCGTTTCCAGCGCCCAACTGATTGCTGGCCGAGCTTGCTGGGGAATACGTCGATGCCTCGGCGGCGGCAGCAGCGGTGGCAGTGGCAGTGGAAAAGCGCCGGCAGCGACGCCAGCCATCCCAGCAAGAATGATGGCAACAATAGCGACCAGCCAGCCAGCCAGCGCCGGCGGTTGTTGTGCGTGAGTGTGTGATGCCTTCTACCAACCTCCTCCTACCTCCTCCTACCTCCCCCCAATCTCCCAATCCCCCAATCTACAACCCATTTCAGCTGGCTGGCGTATTTGCTCTGGCTGCTCCGATTGCCGGGGCAATCACGACTGGGGTCCTGGCGGCCATTGTCCTGCTCGGCGGGCGGTCTCGCACAGCTGGACTCGCAGCCCTTAGTGCTTTGCTTAATTTCTCTGATTAACTGCCCCGCGAGGAGCGGGAGGGGCGGGGCGGGTCGGAGGCGAAGGGAAGAACAAACAAGGCGCCTCGTGCTCCGCAGATCCAGAGAGTTAACACCTCGGCGGGGACAGCTTGTCACAACATTATGTAACCGCAGCTGGAACAATCTTGGCCTAGGCCAAGCCCGCCTCATTTACATGCTTTTTATTGCCGCTGCCAGCGCAATACTCACCTGTCACCTGCAGACGTCGACGGCGGCAGCGCAGTTAGCGGTGGCAGAGGCAGCGGCAGAGCCGGCGACAGCAGCTGTGTGGCCCCCATCAAATCTGCGGCGAGCTGTCGCTCGACATTTTCCGGCTGATGTGGGGCCATGGCTCAGTGCACCCCTGACGAGGACGTCGGCAACCTGATGAGATTAAATGCGAATTAAGCGCCACGAACAACAGCGGCGGCTTTCAAAAAAATTAAACCAAGAAATCACCGGCAATCGCAATGGAATTGGAAATGGCCAAGCAAACAGCAACCAGCAAATGGCAAGAGGCGCAGGCGGCATTATGTTTATTTAATGTGCAGCACTGCGGATTTAATGAAGTCTTTAATTCTTAATGCAGCTTCATTGCCTATTTAAACGGCCAGCATTCCAACAATGGTTGAATTCTGGCTGAAAAGCTGAGGCGCCATCTTGGCCGTTCATCCCATTTTATTGCATACTTTGCGGGTGGCTAACAAATGGACCGGAAGTGGCAAGCAAACGAATCGAGAGGTCCTCGAAGAAATCACTTTTCCCTCTGCCAACTGAGCAATATAATGGGCTTTTCTTTGATTTTAATTTTCCATAGTTCAATTGGTCTAGTTCAGTGCTTGAAATTCCATGGCATACTTTGGAGGTGACGAACATATGAAAAGTGATAGTTAATGAAATAATACTTAAGGGAACTCAATTTATTGCAATGATTCAGTTGATGTATTCTTTACCTGTCTGATATATTATACATGTTCCATAGTATTTTCTAATTTTAAAGTTCACATCACCAAACACCGAACACTCACTTTCACCTTGAACCACAACTTCTGCAGCGTTTTAACGAAAATTGAAAGCATTCTTCCAGTCACACACTTAAATTAGCATCTAAATAAACGGCAGCCAGACACGAGAGTTGGCTGGTTTTCCCACCCACGCGTCCTCGAAAGTTCCACTCGGAAAATACCCTGCACTCTCCCTTTTCCTCGCCAAGAGCAACAATTTTTGTGATGTCAGAAAACTTTCGACGTGATTGAAATGCTTTTTAATTTTTCATCAAAATCATTTCATTGCGTCAAAATTGTTTGGGTGCTTCTGAGCGGCATGATAATCCGATGGCGCACACACGCAGTCCGTACAACAAACAGCACGCACACACACAAACGCACACACACAAACGCACACACGCCCACTCGCAGGATCGAAGGACCCATCTTGCAGGGACACTGAGCTCAACCTTTTTCGTGTGCTGCGATGGATTGGTTCATTTTCGGCATAATCATGCGATAGGGATTACCAGTTTCTGCCAGGGACACGAACTTTTGGTCTTGTCAAAGGACCTACTGTGGGTGGGACTCAAAAAAGTAAAAGTATTTCAAAAGGAATAGTTTTGAACTCCAGGGTATCCTCTTCCCATCAATCATACTCTCTAACTACTCAAGTTCATACAAATTGTAACCAAGCTTAATATGATTTTAAGCATTTTGCTTACCAATCGCAAGGTTTGTCCCACTGTGCGGGGAACGCTTTCAACCTGTGACGAAAATGATGGATTATCGCTTTTTGCGCTAACGTTCACATGTTTTTATTTACTGGCGCATACAACCTGACCCTTTTTCGGAGCCTGCCGGGGGAATTAATAAATGTAAATCCGCATGGGAGCGCCCAGAGAGGAGGCGACTGCGCTGCTTAAGCCACACAAAAGACCACACTAATCGCTTTTTCTCTGTTTTTGGTCCGGTGGGCGCGACTGAGGGGTTTTCGGGGATCTGGATTCTGGATTCTGGATTGGAAACGGCTGCGTTTCTGGTCGGGGTCGATTGCGGTGGGTTCGGTCCGGTCCGGTCTGGGGACACAACTTTTACACAGCTTTCGCTATTTAATCATTCAAATTGACTTTTTCCTGACGGACGTTAATTTCGAAATCCCTTTTTAAACGCTGCCCACCCGCGGTTATTCCGCAACTTCCCTCCACTTTCCACTATCCAAGCTCCAAGCTCGCGGCTTATAAGTTTTTTAGCCTTCGCCGATTCTTTTTTTTTCTGCGCTCCGCTCCGCGAATTTCCTTTTTGTTTTTCCGCCAGCGCACTTAGAATGCGCTGAGTTTGCATTTGGCTTTCATTTCGCCGCGGCCCCGGTCCGCTTTTAGTTTTTTAATCAAGATGTTTTAAATGCGGCCACGCCAGTGAATGATGGATACCGTTTTGTCTTTTTTCCTTTGGCCCCCAACAAAGTAAACAGAAAGTTGGTCGGTGGGTTCGGCAAAGATTTATGCAGATAATAAAATGAGTCTTCAAATGAATAATCAAGTTTTGCATGGCTGGCCGGAGAACCGCTCATAATTAAGGTCCGTCCTTGAGCAGAATCGCAGTTCCCAGTTCGCAGTTACCAGTTGGGTTCACTCGATGATGGAGCGGCTTTTGAAACCATCCAGCTTTCAAAAGGCAATACAACTTGGCGAATCCGAGTCAAGGACTGAAGCGTTTTAGCCAAATGACCGGGACTCCTTAAAGTGGTGGTGGCGTTACGCGTTACCTGGGCAAACTTTATGGAAAATTAAATTTTCTAGTGCTTCGCCGTTTTATTACCGCCACTCGCTTTATTGTCCTTGCATTCCAGGTGCGGGACAATAAAATGTCGCGACTGGCTGTCCGGAAGCGAGAAGAACCCAACCCAAACCCAAAACCAAAGCCGGAGCAACTGCAACTTGTTAGACTTCCCGGCCACCCAAGGCTTTTTGTTTTTATTAACTTCCGTGAAAAATGCGATTTTTACGCGCAGCTGCAGCTATTGTGAGCAAAATATCGCAGTCTCTGCCTGGCTGCCTGGCTGGATGGCTGGCTGGCTGACTGTCAGGCCCGTGGACACACTTGTTGCCATTGTTGAGATACGAAATTAACTTTTACGCTTTATTACCGCAACAATGGCGAAACAAAACAAATCTCAAGTTGCGACAGTTGCAGTTGCAGTTGCACGAACTTCTGTTTTCCCTTCCTTCCTTAAAGTTTCGGTTTCTGTTGCTGGTTGCTGTTTCTGTTGCTGTTCCTGCTGCCGTTCCTGTTTTATTTGGTCTCGTTTCCGGAGTCGCCGCTTTTTTGTCACCGCCATCCGGAGGCCATCAAAATTGCCGGAAGCGCGAGCCGGGCAGTCGGTGCCACCGTCATTGTCATCAACTCAATTACATTTGCCGCCGAGGGGAAGCCGGCCTTTGCCATTGCCTTTGCCACCGCCTTTTCCTCCGCCTTTGCCTTCGCCTTTTGTTCGCCGACTGATGACAGGAGCTCCTAAACAATCCGCACAATACGCGCCGCGTCGCCGCCTTTATCTGCCACGCCCCCGCCTCCAGCCGCACCGCCCTTTGTGTCCTGTCCCGTGTGACGGATGCGCCAGGAAGCGCTGCGAGTCTTGATAGCCTCGAAAAAAGGGAGCCCGCCGGCGGCAGGCAGCAAGGAGTCGTGTATCTGTGGCGCCATAATTTACTGCTTCCCCGGCAGCCGCCGCGCGTAATCTACGGTCGAGTTGCTCCGGCAGCGGAAGTGCCTCGCAGAGATTAGCGCAACATGTCAGCATTTTGATTTACCTGCATGCCACCGGACTCAACCCCACCAGCTGCAGCCCACCAGCTAAGCGGCATCGATTCGCGTATCAGGAATCGGGATCATTAGCCAAGTTTACTCCACTCCATTTCCAATGCAAATTGAAACGACTGCGAGACCGCATGCGAGCGGCAGGAGCTGAGCTCCAGACGGTCCCCGAGTGGATTATCCAGGCACAGGTGCGTCTCGGCGTGCAGGAGGCGGGTGCCGAGGCGCCTCCACCGCTGCGCCTTCCCCCTTCCGTTGCTCCTGCCGCAGGGCTCCAGGGAAACCCGCATCCTGGCTGCCACTCCCAGGCAGAGCTCCCTCTGGGTGCTCAGCTGTCCGCTGCCGCGCATCAGGCTCCACTGGGTGATGTCGCTCAGGTAGCAGTTGGCCAGGACCAGGTGGGAGTCCTTCGGCCCGGCGTGCAGGCAGCGATCCTCGTTCCTCAGCGTTCCCGTCGCCGACAGCTCGTCAAAGTGCAGCCTGCGGAGGTATTGGGTGTTAGCTATTTTTAAATTAATCATAACTCACATAACTGAACACACAGAAAATATTTTGGAGGTACTAATATTATTGAAAAACCTAGGAAACTTCTCATAAAAAACAATATGAAAAATAATAATAATATTATGCATAAAGAAATATGTGTTGCAAATATTTCGAACTATCATAGGTATATAATTCACAATTCATAATTATGCATTACATGATTTGATTTATTAATTTTGAATTAATTTGATTTAAATAGAGAAGTTGATATTTTACATTCCTCACTTCTAGCTCAGAAATCTTAACATACAACCACATCCTCAATCTTTTTCCCCAGTGGACTGACCTTAGTTCGGGACTCACATGCCGCAGATACCAGTCGAAACTATGGCAGTGCCTCTCCCTCCTAAATCGCTGCATCCATCCAATCCGCATCCGCATCCCGTCGGAGGTGTGATTGTGAGCCAGTGGAATGCGCCTGGCCGCCGGTTTCAGTGCGTAGAACATATTTTTGTACTCGTCCAGCCAGGACTCGGCGATGATTTTCGAGTTGCTGCAGAGGAGGAGCAGGGAATAAAAGAAGGGAAGGGTCAATCAGCATGTGATCGGAATGTTTATATTAAACGGACGCCGTGCGGAAATAAATTGAAAAATACCAGGGCGGTGCGGCCACCGGCCATTTCACACCTAATCCCCGAGCTCGACTCACTGCAGATAGGTTTCCTGGGCAGGGCTCATCCGCCCGTCGGATTGCGGGGGAAGTCGAAGGCGTGGCGCTCTCGGAAGATGTGCCCGATTCGGCTGCAGGGCACGATCTCAATTTGTCCGCCGCAAAGCCACAGCTTGATGGCCAGCTCGATGGACTCGCCGCCCCAGATCTGCAAGGAAAACGAGTAGTGGGACAAAGGGACAGCTGAACTGCGAAGTCATTCGCTCGGAAATGTGACAGAGAGAAGCCACCGGACATTGGCAATTAGGGCACTTGACACGGGCTAATTGGGTTTTCTCACCTTCAGCAGCGAGTTGAAGCCGCCGAGCTTAAGGAACCAATCGCGTGACATCATCAGGACACCGCCTGCGAAGCCAGGACTTCTGTAGGCCATCTCGGGCAGCTCTCCGCCGGCCAACTGGCGCCTCAGCCAGTGGAAGTGCAGCGACCAGTCGAACCCGCCCTTCAGCATCTCGTTGCCCTTGCGGTAACTCAGGGTCGTGGGGTCAATGGGGTCGAGCAGGGGACTAACCGCCAGATTGGGACTCGAATTTAGTCGCTCCAGCAGGGGCTCCAGCCAGCCCTCGTTCACCTCGCAGTGGCTGTCCAGGAAGAGCACGTGGTGTCCACTGGCCATCGATGCCGCCTTGTTGCGCGACCAAATCAGACCTTTCCGCTCTTGATTTAATAGGAAGATGAGCCCCAGGCGATCCCTCGAGGCGTAAACCCCCTCCATCAATCTCTTTAGGTCAGCCAGCAGGGTGACTATTAATGGAGTGGTAAGTGCTTGCAAAGTGGCTCGAATAGTTCAAGGACCCACCATCCCGACTGCCGTCGTCCACGATGATGAGCTCGTGCAGAAACTCCGCAGGAGTGCGAACCAGCAGGGACACCAAAGTGCGCAGCAGCATCGAACGCGCCTCGTTGTGGAAACTGATCACCACGCTCACATTTCCCCTTTCCGGAGGAGGAAGCCTAAAGGAGCGGTTAGCACAACTAAAATTATAAGGAAAATAATTCATAAAGTTATTGTAAGGCAACTCAAGAGAGAAGTCTTCCCCCTTTTTTTACCTTTGATGTCTTGTCGAAGGCAATTCGCGTATTACTCCCAAAGTGTCACTAAGACGAAGGTTGTACTGGTAAAAGTCCTCGGATCTTTTAGGTGTATGGGATATAAACTCGCGCCAGTCAAGAAAGTAATCTCCACTGTTTTCATTTTGATTTAGCTGTTGAGAACAAAACTTGATTAAAACAAACGATAAAAACTTTCCACATAAATAACTCACCCCATTTACTGATAAATCATTATAGATTCTATTACGGAGAAACAGAAGTGATAGAACCAACTGAAAGATCACAAAGCCCAGGAAATAGACCATCCATCGGCGATGTCGACGAAATTGTCTGCCAGCGAACATGACAAAATATATTATAAGAACTGAACTGATTCCGATTTCGTTTCCGCATGGCGTTTCGAGTAGTCACAAGTCTGGCCGAAAAACGAAACTAAATCGCTGAGACTGGAGCTCCACGCTCTGCCCTCAGAATTATGACTTCTGTTCGGCCGTCTTTCATATTATCACTTTCCGTGGAAAAGGTGGGTTTCTTCAGCTTTTCTACTTAGCTGCCTTTGATTGTGTCGTCACATGCTGAACGAGCGATATAACAGCGAATGGAATCATATCATCGCTTCTTGTCACACTTGTCAGTGATAAATGCTCGATAAGTTTGGCAAATATTTGTGGGCAGCTCGTAAGGTGTTAATTGCGGCAAACGAAACTATCTATTACCCATGAGCTGTCAGGTTTCTGGGGACTTTGGAGGGGGCGACGATATTATCGACGATATTTCATTCATGGCCCTTGGCGCACTCCGATATCAGACATTCCGCAGCTTTTACCAGCGGATTGTGATTGAGTGTTATTGATATGCCAGAAACTATTTCATAAGCAGCCCGGCAACAAAAAACCGCTTATTGAATAGTTGGAATGCGAGCTTCGCCAGCCACCTCATTTGATTACATTATTTTTGCATTATAATTGCATTACTTACTTTGTGTGTACAGCGCGGAAATATTTCGCAATTCATATTTTGCTGGCAATTAATTGAGTGTAATGATTTGCACAATTTACCTCCCCCTCATTATGCAGCGTTCTGATTTGTTTTATTTGCCCACCCGGCACCCGGCAAACACATAATTGCTGTTGATTCGGGCCGGGAACATAACATAATAACGTGATGGACTTGCAAATATAGACTGCTTCCTATGTCAATCAGTTGATGGCGAATAAATCGGGGCCGGAGTGAATTAAATTGGCTACCAAACGGCCGGCGCTTTCATTGAGTCGCGATTCAGTGGCTCACTGGCATATTGGCATTGCCTTTTTATGGCCTTTGTTGCTGCCATAAATATTTCAAAGGCCAGCGTCGCGTCGGTTGCCATGCACAGCCGCCCAGAAAGAAAAAAAGGCGGAGATGGCCACTGCCGAACACACACAAACACACGAACAAGCCCACACACACACATACACACACACACACCCACTGGCCAGACAGCATTGTCCATATTGGTCGGTGGCCGAGTTTGTTGGCCGGCAAAGGATGCCCCTTCCCATCCGAAGAGTGATGTGATTTTATTTAAAATTGTTAGGCAAAGCGGAAGTAACTCATTCAGTTAGCAACAAAATCAGGCGCCATGCCCGAGCCAAATTGGAGTGTGACTTCCGCATTGCATTAGGGTTATACTTAGTAGTTGGGTGCTCGGTGCTTGGTGCTTGGTCCTTGCCACTGGATCCTGGGTCCTTGTGGCTCCTGCCCGCTCGCTGATTGACTTACGTGCCTCTCGTTTGGCTCCTCGCTCCTTGCGAGTTTGCCGTGGCAACGTTCTCGTTTTCGCTCGCCCCGCTTTTCACGTGCAGCGGAAATGCATTTTCCCAGTCACGTCTCCAGCGACCAGACAAGTGTGCAGACAGACCGGAGCTGCGGATGCTCCGCTCCTCCGGCTCCTCCGATTCCAGCTGCTGCCAGGTAAGACATACGCCCCCATTGAGTGGCAGCGACGTCCGAGGATTCCTTTGTTTTCGGCTGCCTTTTGCCTTCTGCGATTGCCATTGCCTTTGGCGTTGGCGTTGGCGTGGGAATTTATTAAGTCGGGCGTGATCTATGCGCTCGAGCTGGGTCGAATTAAAGTGCTTTGTAATGGATGCACGGGGCCAGGATCTGGGGGATACACCTAATTGTATGCCGGGTCGCGTGTGCAGCTTAGCAATTAAGTGGCGCGGCCAATTCAAGGGCGGCCAAGGCAACAAAACCCGATATATTCAATATGTTTTCAATTTGCCGCTTTCTTCTCGCATCTCTGCTTCTCGCGTCGTTTGCGTCCTATCAAAGGCAATCGCAAAAGCCGTAAAACAAATAAAAATAAAACGAAATTATGCCAATAAATGAATTATAAGGCGCACGCACAACGCGGCGTATACGCAACGCTAGTCAAAGAAATGGGCGACAATGTCTAAGTGGCATGTAAATATGTGTCAGTGTCTATGACAGTGTGGGTGAGTGGAGGTGGAGGTGGGGGTGGGGGTGGGGGTGGGGGTGTGTGTGTGTAGGTGTGATTATTATATGGCCACTCTCACACACACACAAGATGGCTTCGCTGTGTGCGTTATGATAATGTTAACGGCCCGACGCAGGCTTCTAAAATTTTATTAGCAAGCGGCTTATGGAACTTTGAAAATAATAACAAAAAACCAGCAAGGAGTGCCCCTGTTATCCCCCCTCTCTCTCTCTCTTTCTCCCACTCTCTTTCTCTCTATTGCTCTCTCTTTCCCGCTGGCTCCTGTTGGCCGTAAAGAATATTGAGGAAATTGCTTTCTTTGCACTCGAAATGCTCTGCAGACTTGGCCGCTTGGCAGGGTGCACTCATTTCGGAATTGTTGCGTATTATCGTAAAATTTTACGCACACCCACACACACGCACACCCGACGGCCAAGGACGTGCGCACACATACAAATGCGTTCCGGAGTAGAGGAACAAAATCACACAAAAAAAATCAAATATCAATCTTAAAATGCTTCCACCTCTTATTTGATAGAAGGAAAACAAATTAAAAAAGATAGTCACTTAATAGTTGCTTTAGTAATATTATTAAGTATAGACCATACAAATATTTTTTTCGATCCCTGACTTTTCTCAGTGTACGCTAACATTTTTTCGCATAGCATTGTCTGAGTTTTCCCCCGAGTAGACGAACGCATTTTTCTTGTCAAGCATTTCCACATTTCCACATCCAGCTGCAGCCACATACTATATTCGTTTATGAGTGCGGGTGCCAGTTGAAAATATTTGCAAAAACAAAAAGCAAAACAAAAGCTTAGGAGGCGCGAGTTTTTGTTTTCGTTAGCTGTGCCCCCATTTTATGAACTGCGGTCGCGCCTCTGAATTATTTAGTTTAATTTACCAAAGTGCTTTTCCCATAAAGTGATATGCGGCTAATTTGCAAGGACCTCGCTCCTTGGCAGGGGACAAATCGCAGTGCGGAGATCAAAAGGGAAATCAAAAAAGCAAACAGAACACATGGACGGAAATATAATTTCAATGATTTTCCATTTCGAATCGGCAGTGGTGGAGGGGGGTGAGGGAAACCATTTTAATGATGTTTACACAGTTCGAATGCGACCGTCAACATCCAGGGAGCGGGATTCTGTGACTCGCTGGCAGGCTCTTAGCCACATTATGTGCTTTATGGCGATTGACTAGAACTTTTCACTATGCCCGACGGAGTACTTTAGCTGATGACATTATCGCTGCAATACAAAAGGTTTTGCCACTGCCACTTCATCCCAGTGTTTGCAGAGCTTCCTCCCATTCATTCCGCTGCTTTTTGCTTTTTGTCAATGACACTGAGCCGAAGGACCTTCCTTTCCCGGCAAATAAAGCCGGGCGTCTGCGCGTTTAATGGTTCTTGGTTCTTGTCGGGAAACTTTGATTCGGCAGCGCCACCGGCAGCGGTATTTCATTAATTTGATTGAACCTCAGCCGAACTCTGGCGAACGGAAATGAGACAGAACAATTTAATGTCATATTCGAGACACACGAAATATTGTTTTTATTTGATCTTCGCCAGTCGCAACTTGGTCGGGGAATCGTTTAGCTTAAAGGAGACCAATTGGAACAATAAATAAGGCGATTACGACATTAGCGTTCGAAAATAAATTGACCACGGTTGTCATAGGAGCTTTTGTTTAATAAGATTCATAAGAGATTACATTCTACGCTCCCTATAAATAGATAGTTAATCATTCTATTTTTGCGTCTGCTTTAGGAACCGAATCAACCTTGAGCAGTCGAATAAATACATCTGAATAGTTGATTGTTGGTGAACCGCAGAAGTGCCAGGTGTGCATGCCACAGAAACTGTTCCGCCAAACCAAGGGGCTTCCGAAGGTGGGCACACATTCCACGGACCAGCCCTGGTTCTTCAGGCAGACGAAATCGTTATCTTTGAAAAAATCGGGATTGGGATTGGGCTCCTCCCGCTCGCAATCCTTAGTTGGCGTCTGCGGAGTGGGCTTCTTCTCCAGTTTTCTGCCACTCGGGTCCCACCTCCAGAAATCAAGAATTTCGGAGGGGCCAGGGATTTCATTGCAAAAGGGCGGCTCCCAGGAAAACGGCTCCTCCAATGCAGTTTCCAATTGGAGCAGAATCAGCTTAGTATACCTTTTACTATTTGCTGTGTAGTTCTTGGAATAAGTTATGCCCTCGACGCTATACGTGGAGCCATCGGAAAGGACTACTTTGTGGTCCTTCGTACCCCATCTAGAATAGCAAATGTTGGAGGTGAGGACCTGCCGCCTATTAACGATCAGTCCGCTGCAGTACATCTTGTCCTTAATCATCACGCGAACGACGTAATCGTCCAGCGACGGCTGGAGGAGGACCCAACTGCCTTCTCCCACTGAGAACTTAACGTGGCTTAAACCCAACAGGGCCAGTAACAAAATCTCCATCTTCATCCTTGCTAAGGAAGTAAAGCTGAAAAGTAAGAAGTAAGACTATATAAGACATTTCCAATTTCTTCGATTTAGTTCGCCAATTATAGAAGGAAATGGAACCGATCGGAAGATTAGCGCAAAATTTTATTCGCATTGCGAAGTACATTTCTTAGCTTTTACATTTAAAAAATTTTATAGAAATTAAGAACGACATCCTGTAGTTACGGTTTGAATCAGCCGTGGCTATCTGCAGCATGACTAGGATGGTAGCCAAAGTGTGGACGCCAGTCATCTCTCATGTACCTCAACTTGTGATGTTTTGGACCAGAAGATCCGGATTCACCCTTGTGGGCTGAGCACAGCAAGGCCAAAAGCAAAACAATCCCAAGTTTCAACATGGTAGTATTGACTTTAGAAGTCTAAAATTAACTGCTACTTAACTCGCCTCTTGTCAAATGAAATTATTAATGGCTTTCTGGGTAATCAGTTATTTATGGTGCTTACTTATGGCTTACGACACTACCAAACAATCTAATGAAGTAAATCATTGATATTATTTATTTAAGGGTTACAGTATTGTGTCCTCGATGCGGGAGTTCTTGATGAGTTCCATGCCAACAATCGAGAACTCGAGGGCGTCGTAGATCTTGATGTAGAGGTCGACCCCCGTAAAGACGGGGCAGTTGTGGCCAGCCACGTTGATGCCGCAGATCTCCCCGTCGTGGATCAGGGGATTCCCGATGGCCAGCTGGCATTGGACCGTGTACTTCGGGTTCCGCACGCAGAACATCGTGTCGATGGCCACCAGACCCTGGCGATCGTTCATGCGGTGACGGCACTCCTGCAGCGGGAGGATGAAGGACGTCTGCGAGTGGATGCTGTGGCGCTTCCTTATCCAGAGTGGCACCTCGACGGGACTGTAGTTCTCCAGTTCGGAGTCGCAGAGCTTCACTGTATCCCCGACTACACTCGAGTTTTTGGGCAGCTTGTCCACTTGAATGGCGACCAAAAGGGGATCTGCTCCCTTCAGAAAGGTCTCGTTCAGCGGTATCTTCTTCCCCTCGATTATTTCGTTGTCGTGCATCTTCATGTGCACCGTGTCGCCGTCCTTCTCATCAAAGCAAGTGTCCGCGGTCACCACTAGTTTCGGGGATATAATGGTTCCCATGCAGATGTACTTGCTTTGTTTGTATATCCGGACCATCAGCTCGTGCAGCGACACCTTCTCTTTGGACTTGGTCAAGATAACAAAGGGTTCCCTGGAGTCCCCGAAGGTCACATTTTGATCTTGTGGAGGTGGAAGTTCTTCCGGCTGATCGGTTGTGTCCCCAGTCCGCGCTCGACGTCGTTTGTAGTCCATCTGAGTCTTCGGATTGTGCTGCGCCTTGTAATCGCTCAGCATATAGCGGTGATAATGGGTATTTGATGAGAGCGATACATTTGCCAGGGCAGCTAGTAGTATTATTCCAAAAATAAGCACTAGACGCTGCATTGTGTCTTGAGGAAATCACTGGCACTGAACTTATGGTTCGTAAAGGTATAACAACAAACCAATTGGTTACGTTTACGCCTGATTTTATTTCGCTAATTAGTTTGTTTTTTTACATATACTTTAAACTTAATTATATATATTCTTTCAGAAACCTTCAGAGGTAATGTAAGAAGCTTAGTAGTAATCGGGAACTGATAGAATGTGGCGCTCCTCCGAAGGCGTGTCATCGCCGGGTGGTCCACCGTTGAGGGGATCGTCGAAGAGAATCTCGGGCACATGCTCACCCACGTAAATGTTGGGCGACCTGTTGATCAGGGACTGAATCAGGGGAGAGACCGTGGTGGGCAGCGACTGGTTGTAGGGACCACTGAGGGTGAAGGCTCTCAACGCATCCGTGGCGGTCTGGATGAAGGGGATCACTGGCCTGATGGGCAGGTAAATGTCCATGTTGATGGAGTCCTCTTCCTCGTCGCAGTGCTCCCCGTAGATGTTGATGCCCAGCAGCTTGTTGTCCATGACCAGGGGATCGCCGGGTCGAGTGGCGCAGGTGCTCTTCTTCGAGTGCCGCCTGTTGCGGACGCAGAAGAAGTCCGGCTCGAATGTGGACACCTGGAAGAAGTCCCTCAGGCCGTAATGCACCCGACAGCGATCGTAGTCGAGGACGCGGGTGTCGTAGAGCTCTATCTGGTACTCGGGCGGGGAGATCTGGGCCATCTTGACGCGGTCTCCCTCCTTCGGCCTCCTCCTGTTCAGCGGAATGTACCGGTAGGTGAACTTGTCCAGCTTCATTGTCAATCCGAGCAGAGCCGCTCGATTCACACGCCCTTCCCTGCGGTTCGTCGGGATGTAGAAGGCCAGCACACTGTGGCCAGCAGGATTCTGGCCAAACTCGCTCCCAGTGAGGATGCTCATGTCCTTGGCCGAGAACTCGTAGATGGCGTCGCTGGCCGGCGCTTCGAAGCAGTGCGTCGAGGTGATGACCATCCTGCGGGAGATCAGAGCCCCCGCGCAGATCACGGATCCCTTGTTCAGGACATTTACGTAGAAGGATAAGTCCGTCGAGGCATCAAAGGGAGGCAGACTGCGGGGAGTCACCGGATCCTCCTTGTCCCGATCCTCGAGAGCCTGGCGATTGTAGTCCACGTGCTGCTTCGATCTGTGGTGGCTATTGTAGTACGTGGGCCGATGGTAGTTCTCATCGAACTGTTTCAGCCACATGGAAGCACCAAAGTCTAGCCACAGAACGAGCAAAGTGCCTGTGATTAGGATTCGCATGTCGGAGAATAACTAACACTGCCAGGGAAAGTTATCCGATTCTCCATCTCAAAAGGCATTTGTTTCGGTTATCAGATTAGTTGCACAGCTTGCTAAAAAAAAAAAGATAAAGTCAATACGACATAAAGCAATGCAGAAGAAGATTGCAAATAAGTAGATCTTTTTTAAAACGCTTTGCGTTGCTGTTTTGCCGAGTGTACCTGCAGCAATATTAATTAAGAATTTAGATGAAAGCCAATCGGCAGACTCATCTCGCACGCCTCTCCAATTCTGGCCATGTCCTTTATTTGCCGTGTCAGTCATTGTTTTGGCATTTGCATTTTTTGCTGACTGCCTTCGAGAGCGTTGAAAGCGAGCGAGGGAATGAAAGACACTGCATTGTGATGGGTTCTGGAGTCCAGGAGTCTGGCTGCATATTGAATTATAAACCAGGCATCAATGGCCGTCATTTAACTCTTGCCTTTCGCCTTTTGCCGCCAAAGGGGGCAGACAGCTGAGTGGACCGGCTGACAACGGCAGACGACATTGTGCCGGACATGAAAGGCTTGACTGACTGGAAGGCACGAGTACCTACATAAGCAGGAGGGCAGGAAAAGCCGGAAGAAGAGGCGCACAACGGAGGACATAGATAATTAATTTGCTTTGATTACAGTTGTCTGGTTTTGCGAGGGGGAAAAAAACCCGAAGCCGATCCCGAATCAGCAGGCACCATCTCCATCTCCCAGAAAGGCAGAAAGACTGGCAGTCGGAAATTGAAGTGTTTGTAATGTATGCACCACCTGCGGCAAGAAAACGGATGGCCAAAGGCACTTCCAGCCCCTCCAGACTTTCCCTGGCGTCGACAGCAAAAAGTGACAGCCTTGTCGGCAGTTTCGCCGGCGACGAGTGCGTCTAATTGATGGCCGGCCAAAGGCTTTTCCATGCAAATACCCGTACAGTTCGTGGGATCTGGCTCTGATTTCCCTTCAGCTGGCGGACGGAAGGAGCAGCTGCCGGGTCGGGTCGGGCTCGCTCATCAATTATTTAAAATATGCTACACTTGGCACATAACTCGACTGACAAACATGTGTTCGCCGGCATGTAAGTCGAGCCGACCGGCCGTAATAGCTGGTCATTATGTTTATGGGCCGGCGCACGGGGACAGGACGAAAAACGCACACACCTGAAACGGAGAAAGGAATGGGAAGGGGGATTCGGGGGAAAAGGACATTCAACGGCCTTGTCGAAATTTATGCGTACGTGCCCGGCTGAAAAACGTGGCCGACGACAAGCCACCTCGGGTCATTTATTATTAGCTGTAAAATGCGTGCAGGATCCGGTTCACTTCTCGCTTTAGTTTTGCACTTTAGTGTTCCTGCTGTATAATAAATAATCTCCATTTGCCAGAAAGCGAATCAGTTGGATGGGCGCCAAATCTGAAACAAGAGTCGAGTCGCGATTTGATATAGCAAGGTGTGAAAGTTATCCCTTATCGTTTGCTATCCATGACATTCCATACAAAGAATGTAGTTTGGTTTATACCACCTTTCCCATGATAATGTTCTTTAAATATTCTTATAAAACTAGTAGCATTATTTACTTACCAACATGAAGGCTAGATATCCATAAGCGGGTTTCATTCGAGCGCTGTCGACGGCAAATTAAACGTCACTCACACGCCATGTAAGCCGGGAAAAGATGTTGCAGCTCATTATGCAGCATGACGCTTGACGAAATGAAAAATTGACCACGGTTGTCATAGGAGCTTTTATTTGATTAAATACTGAAGAGATTACATGCTACGCTCCCTATTCATTCTATTTTTGCGCCTGCTTTAGGAACCTAATCAACCTTGAGCAGTGGAACAAATAAACCTGGCAGGTCCAATGTGCTGCAGGAACCCTTGGCGTTCATGCCGCAGAAGGTGTTCCGCCAAACGAAGGGGCTCCCGCGAATGGCCAAACAATGCTCCTTCGAGGCAGGCGAGGTATTCAGGCAGACGATTTCGTCCCAGTTGAGCCTCCCGTCGAGACGGTACATATGCCGCCCGCAATCCTTAGCTGGCGTCTGCGGAGTGGGCTTCTTCTCCAGTTTTCTGCCACTCGAGTCCCACTTCCAGAGATCAAGTATTTCGGAGGAGCCAGGGCGTTCCTTGCAAAAGGGCGGCGCCTGAGAAAACTGTTCCCCCAATTCAGGTTTCAGTTCAAGCAGAATCAGCTCTGGGACGTCTTTTGCTGTGTAGTCATTGGCCCAAGTTTCGTGCTCGATGCTATATGTGGAGCCATCGGACAGGAGTGCTTTTATGGATTTCCCATACGATCTCATATTGCAATTCCACGCAGTGAGGACCTGCCGCCTATTAACGATCACTCCGGTGCAGAAGATCCCGTCCTTATTCGTCAAGCGAACCATGTAATCATCCAGCGATGGTTGTCCAAGGGTCCGATTGCCTCCGGTTTGACCCACTGAGAACTTAACGTGGCTTAAACCCAACAGGGCCAGTAATAACACCTCCATCTTCATCATTGCTAAGGAAGTAAAGCTAAAAAGTAGAAAGTAAGACTATACAAGACCTTTCCAATTTCTTCGATTTAGCTCGCCAATTATAGGAGGTAATGGAACCGATCGGAAGATTAGTGCTAAGTTTTATTCGTATTTAAGGCAAGATTTCCGTAAGGGGGTTTCGAGCGCTGTCGACGGCAAATTAAACGTCACTCACACGCCATGTAAGCCGGGCAAGGATTTTGCAGCTCATTATGCAGCATGACGCAATGAAAAACACAGGCGGATGGCGGATGGCTGGGGAGCGGGGCTCGGGACTCGGCTTATTTGAATTTACAAGTTGCCGGCGAACAAATGGCAAATTCAATTTCAATTCCGAGCGGAGGGCGCTTTAAAGGCAATCAAAGGCAGTTGCCGACTCGGTGGATCTCCAGATGGATCTCCTCCTGCGATTTGGCTGCAGGGTCAGCTGTGCGAGTGCTTTTGTCTTGTTCTGTTCTATGTGTTCTCTATTGCGAATGGACACGGCAAAGGGTGGATGTGGATGAGATGTGGGTGCACTGGACACGAACTGCCGAAGGGCCCCAAAAAAAAGTGGAGCAGCATCAAAAGGAGCAGAAAGGAGCCAAAGGAGCTGAAGGAGCTGAAGAGCGAAGGAGCGATCTCGGCGGCAGCGGCTCGTCTTTGATTGCATGGCTCTCCGCCTGTCTTCTACTCAAGCACAGTTCGTTGCACATTTGAACATACCCTCGGAAAATAAATGCAAATTTAGCCATGGCAAACACACACACACATACAGAGACACATACAGACACACACACATTGGTCGAAGGGCTGCTGCTGCTCCTTTTGTTGCCGCCGCTGCACATTTGCCGAGCGCCGGAGCGCTGCTCCATTTTCAGTCCCACTCCGCTCCTTCAGCATATTTGTATAAATTTTCGATTTTCTGCTTCAATAGTCCGCCGGAGTTCTACGGCTGCTGCCTCTGCTGCGCGCTCCTCTTCGCTTTGTTTATGTCTTAGGAATTCAATATTTTTTCAAACTATTTCTGCTGTTTTTGCCGCTCTTGCTTCGCTTTGTTTCGCCGCTCGCCTCTGCGTTACTTCTGGAAAGGATTGAGGACACACTCGCTGATAATCCCGGGGCACCTCGACGAGCAGTACGAATGTTCGATTTGAGCCCCGGAATTTACTTTTCACTCTCACATTTTATATGCTCATTAAATTTTATTGCTCCGTATAGTTCTAAGTCCCTCGCAGCACGCAGAACTCGTTTTGTTTTTGGCATGTACGTGCTTAAACGCCGCTGCCTGCCGCCTGCTGCCTGATGCCGTTTGGTGCTTAATGGCTAATTAGTGGTATAATTTACACCTTAATGACTCTACAACAATGCCCGGGCACCTCGGCTCGGAGCGGAGGAGCTGCTCCGGCCAAGAAGCCACAGGAGCTGAGCAGCTATCTGGCTTAATCCCAGCACCTTGTGCCCTGTGCTCCACTCCAGAGCCCTCCTTTTCTCCTCTCCCCTCCTAGTGCCTCCTCCTGGCCACATTTTATCGCCCGAGTCGTGTGTGTGTGTGTGTGTGCCGTGCTTTATGTGCAAATCAGCGTCCATTAATAAAGACAGCTAGCGAAACGTTACGCATACGCCGCGTTGCATTAATCACGGCCAACGATACCTGGCCGCAGCGTGTTAATTTCATCGCAAATGCCTCTTCCAGTATGGAAATTTATGTGTGCCATTTTAGACAGTTTGATTTATGACCCCGGCGCGGAAGTGAATCGAGCTTTGCTGAATTTATTCCGCGGCTGGAACCGCCAGGCGGAAATTCCTGAAAATAACCCGGCTAGTAAATCAATTTATTAGTTGATCGGCAGCAGTGCTCTTTTAGCAAAACTTTAACCCCAGCGAACTGAATATATTTTCGTAGCGGTAATACGGAATTGCTTTTTAATATTTCTCGCCGGCGAACTGATTGACTTGCATGCGAGGCGGGGCAGAAAACGCTGTCACGCACTCCGGAATTATTCGAAATGACACGGTGCACACAATGTGTGTGCACCTGACAAAGTCGACCGCCGAGGAAGAGGACTCCGCGGGGGGGGCATGCAATTTGCAAATTGCCATAAAGCTGCAATTGTGTCAAATATTTTAATGCAATGAGGGTCGCAGCTATCGTGCTGAAAGCTGAAAGCCCCTGCCACACGCTGCGTATACGCAATGTGTCAGCAGTGACATCAGCGGTCGCAGGGTCAAAAGAAATCGCATTAAAGTCGAGCTGCCATCGAAAAGCTTATCGCCCGGGCAATTCCCTCCCAGAGATCAATTACGGACGGGCATAAATCCGTTTAGAGCCACAAAATCTAAGCGGCACCCCTTAATAAAACGGTCAAAAACTAAGGCAACAGCCGCTGGAACGTCGGGCAATTCAATTTTTATTCTCTATTCCTTATTTATGACTCTGTCCGCGGCCCTTAAACCAAAACTCTAAATACATTTCGGCCAGCGGACGGCGGCAGTGCGGATCGACAAGGACAATCG